CAGCACTCAGTGTCTGCTCCTTGTCTTCCAGGTTAGACTGTGGAGATGAGAAGTGGTGGACACTCGTGATGGAGTGGAAATGTCCTACCGTCAGCCACATCCCACCCTGCCCTGCCTCGCGTGCCTGCCCAGCCAGCATTTCCTTCCTACGTTCTCACATCACTCAAACCAGTGACACCACAGGAAAGAAAGACCCAAGATGTTGGAATGGCTGTTTCCATGGACACAATCTCCATAGTGACAAAGTGGGGGGAGGGGGGCTGATGGGGAAGGGGGGGATAAAGGGAGGGATAAAAAATATATATATATAAATCTATTTTTAGTCTGGAAAGACTTTGTTTAAATGAAAGGTGCGCTATCCCTTTTGATTCTATTTTAAAATTATCTAGTTAACTCCAAATTTATTCCAGTGACAGTGAAACTTAAATGTGAAATTGAACTGAACAAACTCATCTCATAAAGGATTGTGGGGCGTGGCTTTGATCTTCAGCCTCTCACGCCAGTTCAGAGAACACTAGACCCAGGATGGAAGGAGCAGACAGGCCACACCCAGACATCAGAGTGTCAGTGATCTGTCTCCAGAGTGGGAAGGGTTTGGGGATGGGAGTCCGGGGCAGCCCAGGTTTCCAGGAGTATGGGGGGGTGGTGATGTTTAAATGCAAAAATAAATTTTCCTTTCCAGAAACACTATTTATTATTTTTAAAATTTTTATCTTTTGGGGAATAAAATTGGCAGATGTCCCAAGGTCATGGCTGTGTCCTTGGTTACTTGGCTGGTGAGATCCCTGTGGGCCCCAGCGGGTGGGTATAACAGTCCTGTAGCAGCAGGCAGAGTCAAGGGGTGGACCCACCTCTGTCCTCAGCACATTCCAGGCAGCAGTGCCGTGACCCACAGGGACCCATGGAATGGGGAGAGGCCCAGCCCTCTGCCACAGGAACAGGTGGTGATGGGGAGGTACGTGGTGTGAGCCGTGTGGGTGGGTTGGACTGACCAGACACACCCGCTTAACACTTTTCTCTGTTTGCTTTTATTTTTATAATGGAAAGGGGGGGCTGTCAGATAAACAGCCCCAGGCTTCTTTATTTTGTTTTGTTTTGTTTTGTAATTGTATCATTTTTAAATATCTGAGTTTTAAAAAAAAGAAAAACATACAAAAAAATCTTGTTAAGGCCTTAAGAAGGGGTTAGTGCATCTTTCAGGGGTCACTCTGCCATGGGGATAAAATAGCTGTTTCACAAACAGTTTTATTTAAAAAAAAAAAAACTAAAAACAAAAAAAAATCAAAAAAATAATAAACTTCATTTTAACCTTGTTTCCTTTTTTGTTTACTATAAATGAGTGCGTCTCTTCTGTTCCAGCCCCCAAAGGTGTCCTTGGTTCTGCTCCAGAGGAGGCCACCCTCAAACATGGTCCCTTTGGGCCCAAGCTTCTTAGAGTTCCAGGTGGCCCTTGCAGTGGGACCTAGAACCAAACAGAACCCAGAGATCTCTTGCAGAACTCAGCCATGCATGGGGATTGTAGATTTACTTAAGCTGATACCAGGATATATTTCCGATGAACATTAATTTTAAAGGTTATTAAAAAATTATGCAATGTTAATGGACTTTTTAGAGGACAGAAATGTTGGAAGGAATATTGTAAGGTAGAAATAAGCAATTATAAATGAGTGCTTGTATGCTTTATCAATTTGGGACTGCAGAAATGGCAGATTAATTTTGTTTTAATGGCTCCATCAAGCAGTGCGGTCCATTTCTGATTTCATTCTACCAGGACGTAGGCATGAGTGGGTGTGTGTGTCAGCTGTGTGAACTTGCGTCGGCAGCTGAACAGGACCTGCATAGAAATGATGGCTTTCAAGCTGGTTGGCTTCCCATTCTGGTCTTGCCTCGGCATTAACACAGTTAAAATGAAATTGATAGATTTCAGGTGTCAAGGGCTAAACCACAAAACTTGAAAAATATGTATCTGGAGGAAAATATTTTCCTGACAGCAAATACTTCTTTGTCACTTTGCCTTTTATTCTTTTGTCCCTTTTGATTTGCTGAGGATGTGTGATCACGGCCCTGTCTTGTGATACTCGCCTCCTGACTCCAGCTTTCTGGCTTTCTGCAGCAGCTCCCAGAGCTTTTGGAGGTCAGAGAGTGTGTGTGTGTGTGTGTGTGTCTCGTAACAGTTTCTTTTTTAGAGCAGCTTTAGGTTCACAGCAGTACTGAGTGGAAGATAGAAGGAGATCCTGGCCCTCCATGCACTACCTTCCCTGCTGCTGTCAGCATCCTAACTAGTGGTACATTTTTGTTAGGACCAACGAATGGATGTGATGCCTCCTAATCGCCCCTCAAGTCCACAGTCTTCATTAGGATACATTCTCGGTGGTGTGTTTTTTGTGGGTTTGGACAAATTTGTAAGTACATATATCTACCATTACGGCCATACAGTATAGTTAGCCAGCCCTAAAACCTCTCTTCCCACCTATTCACCTCTCCCTCTGCGTATCCCCTGGTGGCCACTGATTTTGTAATTGTCTTTGTAGTTTGGCCTCTTTCAGAATGTTGGGTAGTTGGAATCACATGGTATGCACCCTTTTTAGATTGGTTTATTTAGCCATATGCGATTATGGTTCCTTGGTTTAGAGTAATGTGTGATTCTGTTGACTTGATAGTTCATTTCTTTCTACTGACAAATAATAATACTCTGTCCTTCAACCTGCTGAAGGGCATCTTGGTTGACTCCTAATTTGGCAATTATCAGTTACTATAAAGGTTTTGATAGGGTTGTAAGTCTTCAGATAAATAGCAAGGAGCATAAGTGCTGTACTATGTTTAGTTTTGTAACAAACTGCCTTCCAAAGTAGGGTATCATTTGCATCCCCACCTGCAATGAGCTCCGCCTCCTCACCAGGATTTTGTGATACCACTGTGTAGCCAATGTATAGTGGCTTAAAATAATTTTTAGTTTTAAAATTGTGAAGAGCTGGGTAGGTGGTGCACACCTGTAATCCCAGCACTCAGGAGGCTGAGGCAGGAGGATTGCTTTGAGTTCAAGGCTAGCCTGGGCTATGTAGTGAGTTCGAGGCCAGCCAGCTTTATAAAGTGAGACCCTGTCTCAAAAAACCAATAAATGAATGAATGATAAATAGTAAAAGCCATACAATTTCTCATCTTTGATGTTTAAGTAAACTTTATTGGTGTTGAGTGTATCCATATTGTCGTACAACTGCTTTCCAGAACTTTTTCATCCTGCAAAGGTGAAACTGCCCATTCATTCAACAGCTCCCTGGAGGCTGGTTCCCTGCCTCTGCTTGCCATTTCTCTGTGGAGTATTCCACTGCCTATGTTCTCTTGCTCCCCACAGTGCTGGTCTGCAGAACTGCAGCTCTAAAGGCAGCCATATGTCCAGACAAGTCAGAAGGTCAGACAGATCCACCCTCCTTTCTGTGTCCCGGGCAGAGGTCGGATTTAGGTGTTTCCTCTCAGTGGGACAGCAGTGCCTGGCTGGGAGCAGGGCAAGAGCCAGGTCAAAATGCTCAAACTTTTCTACCCTTCTTGATTGCTGGCTGCTTCAGGTTCCTGACTTGTTTCTGAAAAGTATTTTGGTCATACAGGCCTCCCGAGGAAGAGGACCAGAACCTGCTAACCCACTTCTTGCTGCCATATTGAAGTGGTGTGTCACTTTTTATGTGATGATGTGGGTGATCCCAGGGTTGGAAGAGGGCAGGTTATGTATATTTCTCTAAAAAAAAAATCCAGAAAACCTCTATACAGGCCTTAAATACAAGATGCTGCTCAAGCAGTATAGAGTTACAGCTCCAGGAGTGTTTTGGATAAGAACACCGACACTGTACTGTGACTTTGACCTCGTTTCATGATGTCTGTGCCTTGGAACTTACAGCCACCTGCCTTTGATGACCACAGAAGGAATTAGAGCCTGTGAGGTGTGACCAGCAGTGCCTGGCACCTCAGTGCTAAGCATCAGGAGTCGCAGGCCTCATTAGTATAGATTTTATTTGTGGCTGCCCATTCTGAACACAAGCTCCTGGCACAAGCACGATGCTGCCTGCATTAAGGACACCATCCTCCCATCAACCCTGCTGTGATTCTCTGAAGGTCTCAGGTACGAAGGTGCTGCTGACTGGACAAGGCCCATCAGCCTGGACTGCATCTGAGACTTCCCCAGTGCTTCATTGGGTCTTGCCCTGCAGGTCAGTTGAGTAACCTCAGACCTGATCGCCATACTGCAGCTGCCTGCCTCCGGCTTCCCTGAACACAGGAAGGTCCAGGGGTGACTCCACCCCATAGCCAGGCTGCCATGGCCTGCACTGGAGACCATTTGCTTGGTTGGCCACCTGAGACTCCATGAAGCCTCCAAGAAAGGCCACTTGGACTGGGACTGTTGCCTTTACTATGTCAGCTCTCGGGCCTTTCTGTACCTCCTACAATATGCTGCTTAGGGTGAGATGCAAATGTCACCTTCCCACCGTGGGAAAGGGTTAGGCCAATGCAACAAGTGCGTTCAACTCCTGTGCAGCTCTTCTGTAACGTCTCTGGCCCCATCTCCTGGGTGTCACATGCAGAGAACAAGAAAAGCTCAGACTTCTGTAGCTGCTCATGTCCCTCACTAGCCCCTCCCCGCACCCACTGGCTGCAGAGGCAGAGGGGAAAAAGTAGTCCAACGTGCTTTATAACAGGACAGCTCACTTGCACAAACCGCTGAGTGTGCTTCCTGGTCCTATGCACCTGCAGTGATCACGACTTCCTGTGTGTCCGGTGCAATCCAGTGGTCTCCGTGGGGCTGCTGAGCGGGGATGCACTGTGGCCGTGGCCCTGGCCATCTTCCTGTTCCTGTGGACCTGATGCACCGGCACCAACACTAGACTGCTCGATACCTGCCAGGCCCTGTGCCAGCGCCCGGGCTGGGAAAGCTGCTGCAGGTGGACTTCCAGAACCTGCCATACTCCTAAAGGAGTGGGAGGTGGTGGTGGAGGGTCACGGAGGTGAGGGTAATGCCGCAGCAGCAGACGGTGGGTGAAGCTACAGGCTCGATAGGGACCTGAGCCAGTAAAAAGCAGGTGGAGAGGCCCAGGTGAGGACAGTGCAGGGCCTGGGACTTTGCAGGGAAAAAGTGTGGGAGGACAAAGGCCGGGAGATGGGTGGCACTTGGGAGTGTGTTCTGGATCCAGTTGGGTAGGGCAGAAGTGATGTAGGCCCCAAGTCCCTTCTGACGACATCGGGGAGAAAGGTCCTGGGGGCGGGGGAGCAGGGTCACGATCTCAGCATCAGTGGGGAAATCCAGGCTAAGAGAGGGGCAGGGATGCCCTTCACATCATCTGTTGCTACGGGGAGTTGGCTTACTGCTCACATCTGTGAGTCTGAGCTTCCTCTTGTGCACAACAGGGTGCTAGTGGATCCTGACAGTTCCCACACTCATCAAGGTCGTGGCTGGGCGACCAGATCCCTAGTGAGCCCCAGACAGAAGCAGTGGCCTCTCCAGCTTCAAGACAATCTCAGCCTTCCCTAGTGAGCAAGGGAGCCTGGGCTCGAATCCCTGGCCCGCAAAGAAGGAAAGAAGGGAGTCAGATCTCCATAGTGCTACACTCAGTCGGGGTGTCCCAAGGCTTTCACGCTGAGTTGAGGCCTTCAGCTTGGCGGGGACCGTGAGGTGACAAGTGTTGTGACCTCTGACTGCAGTTGCGGAACCGCTTCGGGGACGTGTTCAGCCTGCAGCTGGCCTGGAACCCAGTGGTCGTTATAAATGGGCCAGCAGCTGTGCGGGAGGCCCTGGTGAAGCACAGCGAGGACACCGCAGACCGGCCTCCGATGCCCATCTACGAACACTTAGGCTTTAGACCACACACCCAAGGCAAAGGATGGGTGGCAGACAGGCCGTAGTTGGGGGTGGTGGCAGTGACCCATCGAAGGACTGGGTCTAATGGGGCAGTGATGTGGGTGAGGGACACAAGCAAAACTCCTGAATTGTGGGTGGGGACTAGAAAATGACCCCCTGAGAAGCTGTGTGTGGGCAAAGATGTGGGTGCGCTGGGGTACAGCCTATACTCAGGTGTGTAAGAGCTGTGGCAGCACAGAGGTCGTGGCGGGGTGCACTTGGTCACACTCGCATGATCACCTCATCCCGCAGGGATCGCCCTGGCCCACTACGGACCCGCCTGGCGTGAGCAGCGCCGCTTCTCCGTATCCACTCTGCGCAACTTCGGGCTGGGTAAGAAGTCGCTGGAGCAGTGGGTGACCGAGGAGGCCGCCTGCCTCTGTGCCAGCTTTGCCAAACAGGACGGTGGGTATGGGCAGGGCGGTAGGTGATGGGCTGAGGGGTACCAGCAAGGGACAAGGTAGACAAAGGCCAGGGCGAAGGGCGACACTGAACTGCATTCCTTCTTCCAGGACGCCCTTTTAGCCCCAGCATCCTCCTGAACAAAGCTGTGTGCAATGTGATCTCCTCCCTCGTCTATGGGCGCCGCTTTGAGTATGATGACCCGTTCTTGATCAGGACAGTGGACCTGCTGGAGATGCTTCTGAAAGAGGAATCCAGCTTAATGACTCAGGTGCAGGGCTCACGGGAGTCTGGATGATTCCTCTTTTGTGCAGCTAGGCCTCTCAGGAAGATAGGGGAGATAGGACCAAGGGCATTCTGGAGAGGCACTGCAGCGGGAAAGGCCCGGAGGCGGCAACTGTCACACAACAGTGGGAGAGGTGGACCGGGTTCTGGGCTGTAGATGGGGCAGAGTCTGCAGCTCCTGTCTGCATAGGGAGCCACCGACACTCGTGAGGTTTCCAGGGTAGCACATTGCTTCTGGTAACCCCGTACAGAGCATGGAGGAGGCACTAGAGAGGAAGCAGGTCACCCTCAGGCACAGGCCAGCCAGGGTCCAGTGAAGGTTGGGACCTGAGCCTGATCCATGTGAGAGCTGTGTGTAGGAAAGACCACCGCCTTGCCTTCTCTGTGCCCATCACAGGTACTGAACATGTTCCCCTGGCTGCTGCACATCCCAGGGTTAGTTGAAAAGGTTTGCTCTGGGCACATTGCATTGAACGCCCTCCTGGATACACTGGTAACCGAGCACAAGACAACCTGGGACCCGGCACAGCCCCCCCGAGACCTGACCGATTCCTTCCTGGCTCAGATAGAGAAGGTGAGGGGCGACTGCCAGAAATGAAACATGGGGCTGCGGTGTTGGGGACGTGTGAGGGGTCAGGTCATGGAAGTGGAACCCGGGCATCTCCCAGTAGAGAGGTCCAGGGTGACAGTGCAGATTAGGAGGCCGTTTGGGGCTCCGTCCTTCAATACCCTGACCTAACCTCTCTGCCTGGCCCAGGCCAAGGGGAACCCTGCGAGCAGCTTCAATGAAGCAAACCTGTGCTCTGTGACATCTGACCTGTTTGCTGCGGGGACAGTGACCACGTCCCGCACACTGTCCTGGGCCCTGCTCCTCATGATCCTACACCCGGATGTGCAGCGTGAGCCTGGCTGGGAACTGTGTGGGAGGTTGAGGGAGGAAGGGTAGAGGGAGGGTCCCTAGCCGGTTATGACACCTGGGGTTCCAAGCACTGACATGACCCAAACTCCTGACAGAGTGACACTGTCCCCACCTGGTGGCAGCCCTAAACTTGGGTAGGGGGTAGAGGGAGAAGGTCAGGGCACAGCTCCCCGGCACTGACCTGCCGTGGGGATGAATGTCTGTCCAGGCCGTGTCCACCAGGAGATCGATGAAGTGATAGGGCAGGGGCGGCGCCCAGAGATGGGGGACCAGGCCCGCATGCCCTTCACCAACGCCGTGATTCACGAGGTGCAGCGCTTTCGGCACATCGGCCCATTGGGTACACCCCACATGACAATCCATGACACTGAGGTTCAGGGCTTCCGCATCCCCAAGGTAAGCCTGGGCCCTCCTTCCCCAGCATGGCCGTAGCAGGTGTGCCATGGAGCTCTTCCTCTTCTTCACCAGCCTGCTGCAGCACTTCAGCTTCTCAGTGCCCGAGGGACAGGCGCAGCCCAACGACTGTGGGGTCTTTGGAATTCTCTTGATCCCGTGCCCCTACCAACTCTCTGCTGTGTCCCGCTAAAGGGACATCCCACACAACCAGGCAGGACCTGGCAGCACTGGGGAATCCAGGCTCGGATGGCCTGGGTGCTGCTTGGCCTCATTGGATGGTGGTCATGCTCTAGAAGAAGGGCCCCAGACCTACCTTGAGGATGAGGAAGCCTTGTACTGGAGTGTCACAGGAAGTCGTCGGGTGTACACTGATAAGGGGCATCCATCACCAGCATCCACCTGAAATCTCTTCACCTGCACCAAGCACCCAACCCAGCCCCAGCTGGGGACCTGCATGCACAATAAACCAGGCTTGTGGCCATTGCTTGATAATTAGTCCCTGTCTATTTTAAATCCTCAGCCCCCTGTCTGAAGGGAGCCCTGACCCTCTGCCTCATCCATCCCACAGGACTACAGATGTCTACAAGGTAAATGGTTATAATGATGGTCAGCAGGTGACAGCTTTCCCCACATCACCCACAAAGAACCAGCACTGGCACTGGGTTGGTGGCAAACCCCAGGCAGCAGCAGGGGCTCCGTGGGTCTCAGGTGGGGCCGAGTGGGAATGGGTTCTTCTGGGCATCAGTAGAGGGCCTGGGAGGAGGAGGACAGATGGTACTGTGATCCCCAACCCACCCGGGCTCAGTGAGTTGCTAGAAGAGAGTGAGGTCAAAGCAAAACCAAAAGCCAGCATTCAATCCCATAACTTCCTGTGTGTGATCCAGGGCCCATGGTGGTGAGATCTGAGTTGCAAAGAAGTTAGGTAGCCCCACCCCTGTGGCCTTGCTGGTTGCAGCCCGAGGGCTTTCTTTGTCTGGTTCTGCCACTGCCCGTGCTTTCCTCAGCAAACATTCCATATTCCTGGCATCTGATTTCCTGAGGTCACTGCACCTTCAGCTTCCTTCCTACAGCTTCATGCATCCTCTTAGGGAATCTTACTTGGTCTCCCAGCTGTTGCTGTGATATCTGGGTAGAAGCTTCCCTACAACTCTTGCAATACGCACAGTGGCATTGAGAGCCTGTCTGTGTGCCTGAGGATCCAAGGGATTTGGAGGACTTTTTTCCAGTATGGACCCTCTGGGACCTGGGAAGAGCTTTACATGTGCCCTTGTGTGGATTGGGATGTGACCCACCACAGTTTCAGAGTGACTATATGAGCGGGCCAGAGGATCTTAGGTCAGGTAGGAGGTCTCCCAGAGCTAATCAAGGTCCAAGTAATTCTTTGTGAGGTACAGAAATTGGATCTCCAACTGCCAAATTTGTCTTTTAGTGCCCAGGGACACTGGGAGCCCGCAGTTCAGGCACCACAAGGCACAATGACCCTAGAAGCCAGCTGCCCACAGCCAAGACCATCACACCTCTTACCTCACTGCATACGTGACACCACAGAAGGTGGAATAATTGGGACAGCGGGATGTCTGTGCTGGGATTCATCCAGAGGGTTCAGGCATGGGGTGCCAGAAGTTTGGAAGACCCCATGGAAGTCCAAGACAGCCATTTTCCTGAGCCTCTTGGTCACCAGAAACATGATTGGCCTCTTCCCTGATGCTGGAGTCCAGACCCCTGTGCAGTAAGGAGTTGCCTCTCAGGCCAGCCTATAGCAAGGTGAGGACACTATCTGGGCTGTAACACAGGCCACCATCCTCTAAACAACTGTGTCTGGTAGGGCCCATGGGCTTGGCCAGGCCTTGAAAATGAGAGACCTGGACTGTAGCCCTGCCCTAGGGAGCGGTCGCAAACTTGGGCAGTAGGGTGGGCAGCACACAGGAAAAGAACAAGTTCCTACACCTTGCAGTGCCTCTACACCGAGTGGACCTGGGCTCATCCCTCCCTCTGTTTCCCCTCTACCCACCTCTACCCAAGATGATCACACCAGGTGGCTCCCGAGATCTGTCTTCCTGCACTGAGTTGTGGGCCTGTGAGCCACACTGGCCTGCAGGCCCCAAGAAGGGCACTGACTGCTGTCCTCTGCTCTGCTCCACCCTCCTCCTGACACACTTGAACTTGGTTCAGGGCAGTGCTCAAGAGTATATATGAGGGGCTGGGGATTTAGTTCAGTGGTTCTGGCGGGTGCTTCGCAAGCGCAAGGACCTGAGTTCGATCCCCAGTACAAAAAAAAAAAAAAAAAAGAGTATATATGAGAAGCTTCCCTGACTCTCAGGCAAGCGTCTACTGCATTTAGGGAATAGCCTGTGAGAGACCACAGCCACTCAGAGGGAAGACCACTTGGAAGGCTCCTTTCCTGCGGACCTTTCAGGATCCACACAAAGGTTGCCATCACTGTTTTCCTAAGTGACCTCAGGACAGGGAGGTCCCCCCTCCCCAGCACTCCATGGACCTTGGCCTGGTAGTTGTCACAATGTCAGAAGGACACCAGAGCACCGTGGGCTAATGTAGAGTATCCACAGTGGTGACAGGGTTTGTGGACAAGAAGCATTGTCCCTTTGGCTGGAGAGAGGACAGTGGAGAGGAGAGAGATGGGAGGAAAGGAGAGGAAGACACAGATTTGCATGAGCAGCTTTAGGGCCCTCGAAAGGCGTCTACTGGGTTCATGGAAACAAAACTCAAGAAATTTGGGGACCCTTTCTCGATTGTGGCTCCACATCTCAGTGGTGTCAGGCTCGGAAGCAGTGGGCACAGACCTCTCTCAGGAGCTGTTGTCCCAGGCCCCAGCCATCCTGCATATTCCCCACCGCAGAGGACTCTTCACAAGCACAAACAGCCGTGCTTGTGAGTCCTTTGCCGGGAGAAATTTTTTCCCACGTACAGGTACCCTCTGATGCGCATAAAAGTTGAGGTCTCAGCCAGCTTGGCGAGTGATACGGGCCCCAGGGAGGAGGCAGGAGGGCAGGCAGCTCACTCGGGAGGGTCACAGCCCCAGGCTGCCTGGGCCACTTCCCTGGGTAGAGTAATGGCATCCCATTCGTATGCCCCTGCTGCTCTTAAGCATCCTCTTTCCTTCCCTTGTTCCCCGCATCCTTACACAGGAGCATAGTCCCTGTGCTCTCTCTGGAGCATCTTGCTACCAAGTCCCTGCTCTCAAGAGCAGGCCCCTCCGATTGCATCCTGTCAGCAACACTCGGTGCCAGGCCACTCTCCTCCCTGGCTCTCTCCATCTGCTTTGGGCCAGCTGGATCCCCTGCCCTGTGCTTCCCGAGGCCTCAGTGACGAACGTGTCAAGGCTTTATGGCACTTCTAAGGGGTGCACAAGGTCTTGACTCCTCCCCACAAATGAGCAGTTCTGCCATGCTGCACGGTAACCACAGCAAGAGCCTGAAGCCCCCAGGTCACGAAGAAGGTCGTCTCCATTTGGGGAATCGCCATAGGACCACACTTCTCAGCACCCGCCTGTGAAGGGAGGGGATGCTGGGAAATGTCCTTGATCTTCAGCAGGAACAGTGTTTCCAGTGGAGAAGGCTCCAGTTAGCCGAGCTGCCAGTAGCGTCTGAATAAGGGTCCTGAAGGCACAGGAAGCTCCTCAAGAGCCCTCAGCCTAGCAGTGGAATCCCAAACAGCACGGCTCCCGGAACTTGAAGCCCCAGCAAGCCTCACACAGGAGCCGCAGTCATCAGAACTCATGGGGTGCCGTGTGGCTCCGGGCTACCACACGTGCCGACCGCTGGCAATGGCTCTGAGGTGCATCGTCAGCACCCCGTCTCCAAATCATCACGGCCGAACATACCTTCTGTGGGAATTACGTCAGATTTCACAAGCCACGTTTATTGACTCACAAGAACTGTGCAAGAACAGCCAGCTTTGTAAGCTTTCTGACCCACGCTAGTCCTTTTCATCTCCCTTCTGATGTGTGTACAAGCTCAGCAGTGGCCTTGACATACTGCAGCCTCAGTGGCCACCTACCCCAGAGCCACGAGGAGGAGCATGCGACAAGGACTCGCAAAAAGTGCAGGTGAAGACGGCTACACTTGGGTTCCGGATGGGGGTGGGGGTGATTTCCCAGCCCCCAGTGTAAATAACGTCTGTAGCAAAGGTCGGAGCACTGGCTGGAATAAACAACTTACATAACGAAGGCAGTTCTTGGCATGTGGCCACCGCGGTGTATTTTTGTACAAATGTAGACGAAGATGCCAAGGACAGCTGGGAGAATGGTTGCCTAGGGGGCCACGGGCTGCTGGCAGGGGGTACAAAAGTGACGACACAGATGGACTATGGCTGAGCAGGTGAATCAGAGATACTTAACCCAGTCCTCCGCTCTGCATCTCTTCCTCAGGCCGCTCCAATCTCAAGCAAATGTCCCCCGTCTAAACTGGTGAAAGATACATGGTTTGCTTGTTTTTATTTTTGTGGCACTGGGCCCTGGGTACTGAAGCCAGGGGCCTTACTTTCAGCTAGATCCACAGCCCTGTTTCATTTTGTACAGTTAGCTCAGTTGCCCAGGCCAGTCTCAACTTTTGGGTTCCGTGCCTGAGCCCCCAGAGTGCTGGGATTGCAGGAATGAGCCACTATGCCCAGTCCTTGTCACATTAATTTGAAATGCTGTGCCTTATGTGGCAGCGTCCAGAGGCTCCACCAATGAACAGTGTATTACTTTTAACGTTTTACCTTTTATTTTGAAACAGTTTTAGGCTAGGAAAACTGCAAAAGTGGTTCAGAGCGTTCTCACAGACCCGCTGCCACTTCTAACTCTCTACTCCCCACAGCCTTTCTCACTGGGAATCAACGTGGATGCAGTGTGGTTAGAGACCTTGAGGCCTTGTATCACTTTCCTGCCCTGTCCTTTTTCTGTCTAAACCAGGGTTCCCTGTCACAGTTGTTCCCCATGGCTGTTAAGTCTCGCTGAATGTGGGTCAGATTTTCAGTCTGTTTTTGGCCTTCGTGGCTCTGATAATTGGCTGATCATTTCTTTTTTTAAAATTTATTTATACCCGGGTGTGGTGAAGGCACAGTGTATTTTGCCCCCCTTATCATGCGTGGTACCTGTTTTGAGGAAGAAGGTGTGTTTTACTAAAGCACTAACTTGCAGGAACAGCTCTACCGGTCATTTCTAGACTATCCCATCCACGGAGTGTAGAGTCATATGTGAGAACACGCATCTCCGGTGAGGACCGTAATGCTGCACTGTGGCTTTAAGCTCAGTCTGTGATGTCTCCTCTGCCTTGGGAAGGAACATAAAGCCCGCTGCCTTTGATTGCCCTCAGAGGAGTGGATGAGATGTGAGTGTGACCAGCAGTGCCCGGCTCCTAAGGGCTGGCCCTTGGGAGTCACAGCTCATTAATGCCCATTTCCCTGGTGTCTGCCTCATCCTGACCACAGGCCCGTGGCATGAGCAGGACACTGCTTGAATTACAGGCACTCCTGTCACTGCACTTTGTACCCCATGAGGATAGGACCATCCACAGTTGTGGTGGGTGCACTTCTGGCCAACTTGAAACACCCATCTGAGCTGAAGTTCAGTGTGGTTTGGGCTTGGAAGAACCAGCTGAGCCCTGATTCCAATGGCAGAAAAAGAGCAGTGGAGGGAAGATCGGTTTTCTCGGGGAGGCTTGTGGAGGCTGTTTTCCTGAGGCCAACTTGGAGCTCAACCTCAGAGCTGGAGCTCGGGGTTTCCGTGTCGCTGGGGCTGGCTGCTGATTCCTCGTCTGCCTTGAGCGTCCCTTCCTGGCTCCAGTGCAGATCCCTCAGCCTGGTGGCTCAAATTCTTTACCCGGCCGGCACAGGCTTTCTAGCTTCCGCCACCACTCCTTGGGCCTTCGTGGTGCAGATCCTCAATATTACTTCCATGAAACATTGCTGTGGCTCCAGGGCTCTGGCTGGACTCGTCGAGGACATTGCCTTGGACTCCAGGACTTTTGCTGGACTTGTGCATGACGTTGCCATGGAATCCGGCACTCGGCTGAATTCCTCAGATCTCGAGTATGTGGACAGAACTCTTGCACTCCTCTGCACTTGACTTTGTGGATGAGCGCTATAAAATAATGCTATAAATTATCTATCCCGCACTAAATCTACTCTCTTCAAACCTGAACACAACAGGTATAAATGAAGACAGTAGCCACCACGTGACAGACACCTGGACATTCCTGCCTGCACTGCCATGATTCTCTGATGGTTGCACAGGATATTGATGCCAGTTGCTAGAATATTCATCAGAGGCCACGTGGGAGGACACAGGGTGGATCTGGGAAGGTCTAGGTGCAAACACATCTTGGCCTCCTGGTCAGTTGAGTGGCCGTGGACCTGGCCTCCTGAGGTGCACATCCCTGGACTTCAGCTGTCTGCCTCCGACCCACCATCACACACCCCACGGGACAGTTCTGTGGTGCCTCAGTCCCCCAGACAGGCTGTCTTTACCTGCAGTGACCCTCAGTTGGCCGGCAAATTCCTCCACGCAGCTTCCATGAATGTCTTCCTCCATCCTGAGACTCTTGCCGTGGCCTCAAAGCTCTTCTGCCTTGGCAGGTCAGCTCTCCCGTGTCATGGCAGCCCCTCCAGATTGTGTTGTTAGAGCAGAGATGCACATGTCACCTTCCCACGGCAAGGCCATCACAATACAACCAGTGTGTTCGTCTCCGGTGCTCTACTGCAGGTCTCTGTTCCCCTCCCCTAGGTTTCACATGCACAAGGGAAGAAGGGAAGAGGCTTCTGCAGGGCTCCCTGCCTTTGCTCCGCCCCACACCCAGTGGCTGTAGAGTCAACTGAGAGGCTGGCTCCCGGCAGAGGACAAAGGGCAGCTTCAGCTTTTTTATCAGAGAAAAGCACAGCTGCTCTCTCTATAGCCTGGTGTGGTAGAGTGTGCTGCCCGGTCCTAGGGGACTCGAGGGGTGACAGCCTCTTTGTGTCCAGAGGAGCCAACATTGGGGGTCAGCCAGGTAGCCATGGGGCTGCTGAGCGGGGATGCGCTGTTGCCTGTGGCCGTGGCTGTGGCCGTGGCCGTCTTCATGCTGCTGGTGGACCTGATGCACCGGCGACAGCGCTGGGCTGCTCGCTACCCACCAGGCCCCATGCCAGTGCCCGGGCTGGGCAACCTGCTGCAGGTGGACTTCCAGAACCTGCCGTACTCCTTCTTCAAGGTGAGGGATGTAGAGGTGCTAATGACAGAGGTCACGGTGACCCCTAGCTACAGACAGTGGGTGCTGGGCAAAGCCTCAGGCTGGACAGGGACCTGGGATCCCAAGAGAAAGTAGCTGGAGAGTGTTCTTAGGAGAGGGGACTGCAGGGCCTGGGGACACTTTGGACTTTCCGAGGACAAAGGTGTGGGCAGGTAAAGGCCAGGAGGTGGGACAGTCAGTACAATTCAGGCTGGGTAGATTAGGCAGAATGTGGGTAAGGCCCAGACATGTCCTAGTGACACAGAGGCAAAGGTTCCCGGCTGGGGCTGGCCCAGAGCAGCCCTTAGGCAGGAAATTGACAAGCACCCTGACCTACACCCGTAGCTGCGAAATCGCTTTGGAGATGTGTTCAGCCTGCAGCTGGCCTGGAAGCCAGTGGTCGTGGTCAATGGCCTGGAGGCCGTGCGCGAAGCCCTGGTGAATCACAGCGAGGACACTGCAGACCGGCCACCTATGCCCATCTATGAGCACCTGGGCTTAAGGCAGAATTCCACAGGTAAATGGCGGAAGGGCACAGATGGCATCAGAGCAACTTGGGGCCAGTGACCAGTGGGAGGACAGGGCCTAAAGGGAACAGCAGTGTGGTCAGGGACACAGGAACAGCCTTGGATTTCCAGGGCAAATTCTGGGAAAGTACCCAGTGCAGGCTGGTGGGGGTTTGCTTGTCGCTTCGGGGAGACCCCATACCCACAGAGCAGAAGGGTGAGGGCACAAAGCCTAGTTGTACTTGGTCCCTCTCCCATGCTCGATTTATCCCAGGAGTGGTCCTTGTCCCCTACGGACCCGCCTGGCGTGAGCAGCGCCGCTTCTCCTTGTCCACTCTGCGCAACTTCGGCCTGGGCAAGAAGTCGCTGGAGCAGTGGGTGACTGAGGAGGCCGCCTGCCTCTGTGTCACCTTTGCCAACCAGGACGGTAGGTGCTGGCTGAGGGGCGCCACGAAGGGACAAGGCAGTGACATAAGGGGCACCACCATGATGTAATCCCTATTTCCAGGACGCGCTTTTAGTCCCAACACCCTCCTGAGCCAAGCGGTGTGCAACGTGATTGCGGCCCTCATCTTTGCACGTCGCTTTGAGTACGATGACCCGGGCTTCATCAGGATGATGGACCTGGTACAGGAGTCTATCAAAGAGGACTCTGGCTTGATGCCCCAGGTGAGGGGCTGAGGGCAGTCTGTGAGAGGAGGCAGATTTGCATGCAGGGGCCATGGGGACAGGGCATCTGGAAGAAGACAGCACAGGAGGAAGGGGCTCGAGGGGGCAAATGCCAGACAACAGTCACAGGAGAGGTGGCCGAGTACAGCAGCTCCAGAGAGGATGACACCCTGTGCCTTGTGTTCACCCTCATGAGAATTCCCTCATGAGTAGGATGCTCCTGCAGCCCCCGCCAGGACAGTGTGTGGAGCAGGCAGGTCACCGGTGCACACAGGCAGGCCCTGGTCTATCCCCGAGACACCTGGGACCTGAGGCTGGTCCAGGTAAGTGCTGAGCAGAGGCGGGACCCAACCCCGTTCTGTGGTTGTCACAGGTGCTGAACGCAGTCCCCATGCTCCTGCGCATCCCTGGGGTAGCTGAGAAGGCCTTGCCTGGACAGAAGGCCTTTCTGGCCCTGCTGGATGAGCTGTTGACAGAGCACAGGAAGACCCGGGACCCAGCCCAGCCACCCCGAGACCTGACTGATGCCTTCCTGGCCGAGGTGGAGAAGGTGAGAGGCAGCTGCTGTAGATGAGGCAAGTGGCTCTGCGCTGGGGATCAGGTAGGGTGATAGCGGGGAAGGCGGGGCCTGGGCATCTCAGGGACCTAACGCCGGGTAGATCGGTGGGGAACAGGGGTCACTGTGTGGTTTCCTCCCTGGTCCCTCTGAGCCCACCCTCTCTGCCTGGCCCAGGCCAAGGGGAACCTCGAGAGCAGCTTCAATGATGAGAACCTGCGCATGGTTGTGGCTGACCTGTTCACGGCAGGGATGGTGACCACTTCGACCACGCTGGCCTGGGCCCTGCTGCTCATGATCCTGCACCCGGATGTGCAGCGTGAGCCCAGCAGGGGCTGATGGGAGGGTGAGGGAGGAAAGTAGTGGCAGGGTCCCCGCGATGGCTTGTGCCGCCCGTGTCTTCCCCAGGTTCCTGTAAAATTCACACCCTCCCCACCTGGTAGGAGCCCTTACAACAGGGAAGGTAGCACACAGCTCCGCAGGACTGACCTGCCGTGGGGATGAATGTCTGTCCAGGCCGTGTCCACCAGGAGATCGATGAAGTAATAGGGCAGGGGCGGCGCCCTGAGATGGGGGACCAGGCCCGCATGCCCTTCACCAACGCCGTGATTCACGAGGTGCAGCGTTTTGGGGACATCATCCCCATGAGTTTGCCCCACATGACGATCCGTGACACTGAGGTGCAGGGCTTCCGCATCCCCAAGGTAGGCCTGGGACCCTCCTTCCCCAACATGGCCCCTAGTGGGTGAGGCCACTACTCCTGGATTCCAGAAGTGGGCCAGGCCCAGGCTGGTTGTATGCGATGCTAAGCATGGACAGTGCCAGCCTGTGTCCCCCGAGCCTCTACAACACTGAACTAAAAAATGTCTCATGCTGAGCATAGTGGGGCCCGTGCCTGCGATTACTGAACTCGGAGGCTGAGGCAGGAGGATGGTAGTGAGTTTGAGGCCAGCCTGGACTACGTAGTGACTTGAGGCTGGCTTGGAATACACAGTGAGAACATGTCTCCAAAAAATAAATCGAAATATAAACGAGTCTCTCTGAGTGTGAAGAGCCACTCCACACAGGGACAGGTGAAGTGTGAGTCCCCATGGGAGCCTCATGTGATGTCCATGGGGACACAGAGGGGGCTGAGGGTTCAATGAAAGGGTCCAGGCGTGAGCCAGGCAGTGCGCTCATGCGTGTTTAGTGGCAGGTTTCTGTGTCCCCACCTTCACGTCCCCACCTCCTGCCAGGGCACAACGATCCTCGTCAACCTGTCATCGGTGTTGAAGGATGAGACCGTCTGGGAGAAGCCCTTCCAGTTCCACCCCGGACACTTCCTGGACGCCGAGGGCCGCTTCGTCAAGCACGAGGCCTTCATGCCGTTCTCAGCAGGTGCTTGCTCCTTGGGTTCCAGGTCCCTGTCCCCTTCGCAGGGTGCCGGCTGACTGACCCCGTCCCCACCCACAGGGCGCCGCTCATGCCTCGGGGAGCCCCTGGCCCGCATGGAGCTCTTCCTCGTCTTCACCTGCCTGCTGCAGCGCTTCAGCTTCTCGGTGCCCGAGGGGCAGCCCCGGCCCAGTGACTTCGGTGTCCCTTACTTCAGTCACCTGCCCTGCAGCCCTTCAGCTTCTCGGTGCCCGAGGGGCAGCCCCGGCCCAGTGACTTCGGTGTCCCTTACTTCCTCGTGAGCCCATCCCCCTACCAGCTCTGCGCTGTGTCCCGCTAGAAGAGGCCCCAGTGCCCCAGCGTGTCCCCAAGTGAGCCCCGGAGTCACAGTAAACCAGTCTGGTTGCTGCCACTGCCAATCGGTGTCCGAGTGCACTCCCTGACTCTTCCTTGTCTGAGCCAGCCCTGTCCTGTGTGTCATCCTCCCTGACAGCCCCTGCAGGCCGTGAGGGAATCAGGCTTACTGCTGCTCAGCAGGTGACAGCTCTCCACATGCCATCCGAGACCCATCACTGCTGCCGAGTGGTGGCAAAGCCCGGGAAGCAACATGGGTTTGGGACAAGTGTGATCGGGCTTCTTCCGGGAATCAGCACAGTCCCTGACCCGGTGGCAGAGGGACTGGTGGTCCCCAAGAACCCCTGAGGTGCAGTGAGATGCTAGAAGTTCTCATCGAACTTGAGAAGCTCTAACGCTCACTCATGTTTCATCAGAGGAAGAGGAGAGATGAAAATCAACAACAGTAAAAGACGCTCAAGGTAGAATCCAAGAGGATTGGCGGAAGGGCTCAGCTGTGCTCTGTGTGCAGCGTTACAGACGATGGTCAGTTCTCTCAGCAGCAAGGTGTGACATACGTAGCTGGCGCTGGATCAGGAAAGCTCGGTAGAACCGTGGCACCAGGCATTAGCTGGGGCTCATTCGTGTAGGGTTGGGATCCCCACGTGCTGCCAATCCGTGGCTCAGTCCCTTTGTACTCCTGGGGCACCCACAGTGAGACAGCCCCAGGCCTCCGCTGTTGGGGGCTGATTGGACTCCAATTGCTTGACTAGGGTCTGGCACAAGATAACAGAAGATAAGACAACACTTTACTGTATAAGGGGCCCAGGATGACTGACAGGCTCTTCTCAGGCTCAGATGCTGTCTCCTGGAGCTTGCCACTATTCATTAAACACAGCTTCTCGGAGGGGTGAAGACCAAAGTGGGGAATAGTGGATGGGAGAGCACTGAGCAGAGTCCTAGCAACAAAGACACAAGCATTCTAGCAGGAACAGATCACTGATTAATGGGAATTTTGTTCTTCCCCTTAGATTAATACTTGCTTGCATAGAAGTTCTGTGTATGAGTCATGTTGCCCTTAGCTGCAATATCGTCTCGCCATCCAGGAGGTCACAGGGTGACGTATCCAGACCTCCGCTGTGACCAGTGGCATGAGCACACAGCAACTGCTGGCTCTTCAGGCAGCCACCCTGGGCCAGTAGGCACACTCAGACTTGTAATAAGAAAAGCCAGTTTATAAATCTGCGGCCTGCTCAGCGTGGTCTCCATCACCCCACTAGTACTGTAAAATAATTTATATCTGGTGTGGCCATTCTGGTGTGGGTCAGAGCCCCAGGTTTATAAAGACACCTTCATCAGGAAGGGGCTCCCAGCAGTGTGTTAAGAGTGGAGCATCTGCTTTGTGTCAGCTGCACTGAAGTCCCAAGCCAGCTTAGGGGACTTTGCTGCCCAGGCCTCTCCTCTTCACTCTGATTGAGAGCAAAATAATCACATACATATCAGCCTGTTTTTTACTTTTAATATTATAGAAGATACCTCTTTAAAATATAGCGTGTTGTTTTTGTTTTCTGTGTGTGTGGTGTGCTGGGAAGGAAACTGAGGCTTTGTGCAATTCTGGCACTGAGCCCTACCCCCAGGCCCTTTTCCACGTGTACTGAATAGTGCAGAGCTGTGGACGACCTTGGCCTTCTCTCCCTGTTTCCGGTGCCAACTGGAGGTGACTGGTACTTTGTTCCTCCCGGAACCAGGAGTGAACAAGGATGAATGACAAACAGACAGGGAGTCAGCTAAACATGCAGGCAGCCAGGGGGCTGTTGCCTCTAGGAGGCAGAGAGGACGGATCCCTGAGCCTTTTGCTTTCATTCGCACACACACAGGCACAAGCAATCAGAGGGACACAAGATTCATCTGGTTCCCAGTATCATTAGTTCTCACTCTGGTACACAACTTCACCCCAGCTGTCGTAACTGTTCCCTAACACGCAGGCTCACCTCAGCGCAGCCTTAGCTCTTTCGTGCTCACAGAGGCCAGTTAGGCCTTCATTCTCCTCTGGTCCTCGACACAAAGCTATCAGCACCGCCCATCCCAAACCGAAGCTCTAAGTCACTTTGACAGTAGCTCCCGTCCCCTCCTCTCCCATCCGCTGGTGGCCACCGCTCTACTTTCTGTTTCTGAGAATTTGACCACCATAGGGAGGTCATCAAAGTGGAGTCTGGCAACACTTCAGGTAAGGTAACATCCTGAGGATGCCTTCACGTCCTAGCAGATGTCACCACTTCTTTGCTTTTGAAGGCAGGGCAACTGCATTTTGTGGGTGCCCAGTAGTCCCCCATTCCCACTCTTTCTCTTCGCTCAGTATCTTTTAAAGGTGGGCAATCACAGTCCATAAACCTTACGTGAGGATTCCAGAAACTGACAATTCATAAACGTTAAATCGTGAGATAGCTGAGGAGCGTGATTAATCTCATCTCCCTCCTCCACTCTACTCCCTACAGACGGAAATGATACCTGTGTTCAGCGCCTTCCTACTCTATTGGCTTGGGACCTGTCAGGCACCTTCTAGTGGTCCTGGTGATCACGTGGAGCGTTGCTCCGTCTAGCTCTGTGTTCACGTTAGGAGGCCCAGAGTCGCCTGATGCCGCCTCGCGGTGCCCTCGCCCTTTCCTCCCTTCGTCTCATCTTGGAGGTGTTGTTGATCAGCTCACAGCATCCCCCAGGTGTCTGCCCTGAGCTATGACGTGTGCGAGAGCAAACCCCACTCGCGTGCCTTCATCAAGGCCCAGTGTTACAATTGTTTTCGTGTTAGGGATTGTTGCTAATCTCTCGTGGGCCTGAGTTAGATATTTGCCGCACCATGGGTGTGCGCATCAGTTAGGGTTCTTTGAGGAACAGAATCACATAGAACTATGCGAGGGGATTCGTTAGTTAGGCTCAGAGGGTCAGGAGCTGCTCAGCAAGAAGATGGAGAGTCCTGAATAAGAGAGATCAAGGGTGCACAGCCAACCAAGGTCAAAGGCCTGGAAACTCCTTCTCAGGTCATCGGGGAATCTCTGGAGACAGATGTTCAAAGGCGATGGCAGGAAAAGACAGTCCTGCTCAGGATAACTGGAGTTCTGCAGCATGGGAAATGCTTCTCTCTCTTTTCCTTTTCCTCTCTATTCCAGCTAGGGCTGCTGCTAGTGACACTAGGGTGGGTCTTCCCCCCTCGGTTTGTGCTGTACGTGTCAGTCGTCTCCAGTCACATCCACAACTCTGATTTAGTAATCTGCTAGGCATTCTTAATCCTCTGAGATTGACTCATCATGATTAGTGGTTGCAGTAGGTTTGCATGGGAAAACGCAGAGTATTTTATGGTTTGGTTCTGTAGGCAAATCCCAACAGGCATCTCCTGGGGTCTTGGAATGTGTCCCAGGTGATAAGTGACTCCGCTGTCCCTCATTTCACGGATCCTCTCATCTGCCAGGGGACAAGTGCATTGCTTCCCCCTTCAGCCACTGGAAACAACAATGACATGATCAAGGGATAAGGGTCAGAGACCCTCCTTTCAGTATTTGTGGCTGTATTCCTGGATCACAGGACAATTCCTCATTTTGTCAGGAACCCCCGTACTGATTCCCTCAGTCGTCCTACCGTTTGACGTTCCCAATGAGGAGATACAAACCCAAAGTTCAACAGTGCTGATTTTTACATCTACATTTGTTACCTCGGCCAGTGTTATTTCCTCTGTGGTTTTCAGTTACTGTCTAGTGTAATTTCATTTCAGCCTGGACAGTTTCCTCTACAACATACTCCAAGGCAGGTCCGCTGATAGTGTACTCCCTCAACTTTCGTTTACCCTGTAGATGTCTTGCTTCCCTTTTAATCGTGAATGGATACTTTGGTTACAAAGAGAAAGTTTGGTTGTCAGTCTATTTACTTTCAGTACTTAAATATTATGGCATCCTATTGTTTTTTTTAATTTCCATCATCAGTGATGAGAAATTATCTATTACTCCGAAGTTTCCTTGCATGAGATGAGTTACTTCTTTACCGCTTTAAAGTATTATCGCAGTTCTTCCTTGCCAAAGGCAGCCTGGTGGGCCGCCAGACCCATTGTAAGCCCAGTCCACTGGTAGCGTCCTGCTGGACTACAATTCCCAGAGGGATCTACGCACTGGCCCACTACAACTCCCAGCGGACTCTGGGCGCAGGATGAGATAAAAGCCCCCTGAGCGGCTCCTCCTCAGCCCACATCCTTGTAGCAGAGACCCTCGCCTCAGGTTCTGCTGGTCTCCTTCAGGTAAAGGGCGACCCGGGTGTCGTGGAGGGGTCCGTTACTCCGGGGCCGCTGGGACGGAGGCCGTAGCACTGGCCTCCTCGGGACCCGGAGCTGTCCCGCGCCTGGGGCCGGGCCAAGTTAGGCCCCGCTGCGTCCTCAGGACGCCGCACTTTGTGCCCCGCGGCTGTGGAGGGGTGAGCCGGGCGCTGTTTTCTGAGGAAGGGAGAGAGGACGCTCTCCCAGCGCTACAGGCCGCCGAGCACCCCGGGGAGCGTCCCGGTGGCCAGCAGCGCAGCGGGCCCTTTCCCGGACTCTGGCGGGTACTCCGCCTCCCGGGAACTCGGAGGAAGGGTGTGCCAGGGCTGCCCAGCAGGTGTCGCTGTCGCTTTGTTGCCCTGGGGTCCTACTAGGCCTTAGGATCAGGAGAACCACCTGGGCCATGTTTAAAGGGCAAATTCCCGCAGGCATCCCCTGAGGTTCGGATTTGGCAGCTACAGATGCGGCCAGGGGAGCTGTATTTGATAATGTCCATAGATAATTCTCAGGCTCACCTGGAAATGCGAATTTCTGTTCCACGGCAGGAAGGATGGGCAGCTTTTAGAGCAGTTTAGTATGCACTCTGGGGCCTGATGTGGGCAGGTGGTGTCTGCAAATGTGACCACCCTTTTGGTACCTTGCCTCTTGCCATGGGACCCATCTAAGACTCAGCAGAGAGGAGTGCTAGTTTTCTGCTGTCCCGTGTTCTTCACAGAAGACTTATCCTCAGTCACTGGCCACCTCAGAAGAAATGCCCCTTCTTGCTTTAGTAGGAAACATTTGAAACACTCAGAAATTTCACAGTGAACATACAGTTATTTTACAGCGAGCCATCACAGAGCCCAGCTGGGGTATACAGTTAACAGGTGGTTATCATGTTTCTGTTCACCCACCTGTTCATCTTTTTTTTTTTTTATGCTTATGCAAGTCAAAGTTCTGTATTTTCTCCCTGAAGCACTCAAGCATGTACACCACCAACTGGAGTCTCAGGATTCTTGTTTCTTACTGATTTTTAAATGAGAGAAGTCTCAGGTATTTGAAAGTCTATCTGCCTCACTGCTATGAGATGCAAAGTGTTTTGGCAGATTTCCCTAGAGTGGGCCTGTGAGATGTAGGAGTAGCTTTGCATGTATTGTTGGATTCTTAAAAACCTGGCCATGGTAATAGGCTCACCTTAAGAGCACAGGTATGGAATTTTTGAATGACGATAGGTCAGGGAACAAAATTGTGTTAAGAGGGACACAAGGGAGGATCCCAAAGGCCAGTAGCCTCAGGCGATCATGTAGGCGTGAGCTGAAGTGACTGCTCATCTGTATGCTCTGTCCAAGATTTTTACACTATAAATTTTAATCTGCTAGTTTGGAGGGTGATTTCGAAGCTTTAGGCAAATAGGGCTGCGTAGCACTGCTGTCAAGCTCATAGTGCTGAATAGGGTTGGTGGCTTTGAGTCGCTTGGTGCAGGTATGTTTTTCACAGCTTCAAAGCACAAACCCCTCACCCTATTCATTTGTCTAAAATGGAAAGGAAAAGTGGCCTTCAAAAATGCATCTCCATTGCCCAAAACACTGCTTCACATGAAGATGATATTTTGACCTATAGAGGGTAAGCAGAAATCTTCAAAGCTTGGCATGGTGGCAGATGTGTATTATCCCAGTGATTGTTCTCACTTCAGCAGTTTGAAGTGTTTTAGAAATATTGTATTCTTTTCCCAGAAATATTTTTTTTTATTTTTTCAGGCTCCCAATCTGTGTGTTCTGTGAGACCCTGGTTGGTCTGTCCTTGGGGGATCCAGCACTGTGCATTGTTACTGCAAGGAGGTTTTAAGAGGGTTCTGTAACAACTAAGTGTGCTTGTCAAATAATGTGTTAAGTACACATCAGTTCCTTCTGAATCCAGACCTGGTACCTCTCTCTGGACTTTTCCTTCAAGAAGAAAGCAAAGATAGGGCAGAAGGTACAGGTAGAGCAGTGAGCAAGTTACCATCATGGGATTTTAGGAGAATACTAACCTCTTAGGGCTTCAGGATAAATGTGATCATGGTTAAGAACAAGAACCACACCAGTCGGGGAATGAGATTTCCCTCTACTGTGGGCCTTTGCCTGCACTTTGTGGGCCGATTCTCACCTGTCTTCCAGAGAGGTAGTAACAGATACAATTATTCCTCCGATAAGGAAACGTCCAGAGCTTCTGCACGACTTGCCCAGTCTTGTCGTATCGTGCAAAGTAGCCTGCACACTCAGCTGCCCTGAAAAAGCAAGAGGCAGAGGCAGAGGAGGATGGCAGAGGATGGGTTCCTGGCCCCAGAGTGATTTGTAGTCTGTGTTTTTTTACTGTGACTCGGAATACTGTTTTCTCTATTTGAATCTTTCTCCATTAGCAAAGGCACTTTCTTGTGAAAGCTAGTGGAATGTGCTGTGGCTGTGGCTGTGTTTTGGCAGATGGGCTGTGTGTAGTGGACTTTTTGTTTAGGAGTAGCATTGGAGGTCTACTGATGTTGATGCCAAATCACATGGACTCACAAATGCTAAGTTGTTTGGATCTTGCGTTGCTTTGATTACTTATGTCCAGTGGTAAAAGTCCTTGAGATCCACCTTGTGGTAGATGGCTACAAGCTGTGCTGTGGCAAATAATAGTGTGCTCTTTGAGAGGCTGGGATGTGGGTTACCACTTTTAATTATACCTGTTATACCTAAAGCTTGGTTAATGACTCAAAGGCCAGGAAATGAAAGTGCACCTGAAGACACTTCAGTTCATGACTACTGTTGCACGGACATGCACGTAACGGGCTACAGGCATATAAAAGTGACTTAACGTACTGAACCATGCACGCATGTGCATCATAGTCTAGGTCATGCAGGCTTATGTTTGTCAACATTCCTCAGTGTGTGTGATAGGCAGTGTAACTGCTGTTAAAAAAAAAAGAGCTGTCTCACTGCTTTTGCTAAGGAAAGACAAGCAACTCTTAAGCTATAGAGCGCTGGCTCTAGGTCTCTCCTCTGATGCTGCTCTTTTACTTATGGTTGACTCTGCATGATGTTCCTTGTTGGAAAATGATCTTGGGCCAGGGATTTAGCTCCGTGGTACTGCCGCCTGCCTTGTACTCGCAAGGACCCGAGTTCGATACCTGGTACCGAAAAAGAAGAAAGAAAATTAACTCATGGCACAAAAGACTATAAACTAAACGAACCCCTCTCTGATACCTCCCAGGGAGGCTCAGATTTGATATATGTTCCAATTGCTGGCCAGATTAATTAGAAGGTAAAGGCATAATGCAAGAAGATCAAATAATATTATAATGATATTTGAGGCCTTGTTGTAGCTGTAAACTTTCAATCTGACCTCCCATCCAGAGAACAGTAGTCTCAAACACACTTACTTGGGATTGCAGCTTTGTCTTACAGGATGTTGCATTTTCGAGGCCCCATCAGCAGTCTTGGTTCAATTATCTAGGAAATGAGTTGTTTGATCAGAATGAGCCAAAACAACAGAGGAAACAGCTACACTGTAATCAATACCAAAGAGACTATGCCAGCAGTGATTAGTCCCAGCATTCTCTTTGCTCTATGTATGAGATGATCAAGCAGGATTTGTAACAGATGACCACTAGGCATATATCACCATGGTTCCGTTAAATTAACAGGAACCTATATTCCTGGCATACACCCTAGGATCATTAGTCTTATTTTGTACAGATCTGAAAGGAATACAATGACTCAAGGTGCATTTTTGACAGTTAAAAGAATTAGTATCCCATTGTATACTCCACTACATGAAAACATATGGTTTATAGATACATGTGGAAGCTTGAACAGGTCCTTAGAACTTTCTTAATGATATAGTACTGCTGAGGTTGATTTTATATCATTACCAGTCCATAAGCTTCGTTCAATATAGGGAAGAATCAATTTCCGTAATATTCTTTGGGCAGGCCTCACTTTTCCATAATGTAAAAACTGGGAAGAAGGTATATTAAAACCTTCTTTTCTCCAATTTATTTCCTTAGTAGGGACAGATTCTTTCAGTCACATTATCAAGGTCAGTCCAATTTCATTTACCCTAGTCTGTATTATTGTCCTTTCTTCATGTAAAATTTCCCCATAATACCCAGTGCATAAATTCACGTGGTCCCAATTTTCCACATCTTCCTGATCGGACCCTACATATATTCTGTGGCAGAGGTGCATCTTTATGAAATCCATTCTATGTAATATGAGCTTGATAGATTGGATATTTGGGTTGTAAGAAGTCTGTTTGTTCTCCAGATAGAAATGGACCTAAGTTGACATCACAAAGTTTTCAGAAGTATTGGCCAACCAGGTCTGAGGTGAGGCAGCATAACAATAATTAGACTGTATAGAAACATCTTCCACACACACAGGAGGATAAGTAAAATGAAAAGTATAGTTAACAGTTGCTTTATCTTTCATGTCTATTGGGATGACTGGGCCTGGTATCAAATCTACCCATAAATGGGATGTGTCAGTTTAATGATGAATTTCAGGTGACAGATCCATCCAAATAACTGGCCTGTGCAAGGGAGGGTAGGGATGTAACCCAGTATTCTATCCCTGACACTGGGGGTATTCATACTAAGCATGCGAACATAACCGTCATAGCACTGAACATAGAGTCAGGAGTCTGTCATAAAGAAAAACATAATAAGGAGTATAGATACAAATACCAATTTGAACATGTAAATTTAAATATAGGATCTTTCTATCTTGTGCTGAGGACACATCTCTACCATTCTATACTTTACCTTGGAGGAAAGCCAATCCAAGCTTTCTGGATGGTAGCCACAACATGTCTCCAGAACAGATGTTCAACCACAAGCATAACCTGTTCCCCACGTCGTTGAATGTATTGAGCCATATTACCTTTCAATTAGTACATCCCTTTACAACGCTTGTGTCTAGGGTGTTTCTGTAATTTTGTCCTTTTGCTAATGGAGTTCCTATGGGGCATATTTACTTTCCACAAGTGGATTTTTAAAAACTTTTTTAAAAATGAAAGTAACAAGGTCTAATTAAGCTTGTGGAAGTAACTGTACTCCCTCTTTCTGTTTTAGAAGTTGCACTTTATGGCCAGGGATTTCGCTCAATGGTGCCATTGCCTCCCTCGAAGCTCAAGGTCCCAAGTTCGATCCCCAGTACCAAAAAAAAAAAAAAAAAAGGTTCTGCTGGGTTAAAACTCTAATGTTTTAGTCTTTGAAATGATATATTTGGTATAAAAGGGCTGTATATATTTGTATAGAACCACCAGCAACCAGATTGATTTTAGTCTTGTAAGTTACTGGGTCTGCCTGTGTCCACTGGTTCCTCTGGAACACTTGTGCTTTAGCCTGGGCTGTCTGAGTGGTACCTCCCCTCTACCCCCTGCAAGGCCTGCTGCCCATGTGGGTCCCACTACTAGGAATCCAGGGAGCCTCACTATTTTCCAGGTTAGAATTAGTGCAAGTTCCCGAAATGTTAGACTTCTTACCTTGGCTTTCAACTGTACATTTTTGGTGAAAATGTCCCATTTTACCATAACGAAAAAATTTAACATTTTTAGCATTATTATTTTTACCTTGTTTTATAAGAGCCACCATTGCTCGTGCTAACACAGACCGCCATGAGTTTCTGAACTGATATCCTGACCAGACTTAATGTAACTGTTTGAGTTTTTAGATGCTCCCGAGGTGGCCAGAGCCTGTTTACAGTGTCGGTTAGTGTCGTCGTAAGCAAGTTGGAGAATAAGTACGTTGGCTGCTAGAGCGTGAGAAATTTGTCCATGCATGACTTCTTGAATTTGGGCCTCAAACTATGTGTAAGGTTCTCTTGGTCCTTTTAAGAATTTAAGAAAAATAGGACAGGAGCCCCAATCTTGTGCACAGTCAGTCTAGCTGTTTTCATCTTGGCTCCTATTTGTTCAAAAGTCTCAACAGTATATTGCTGCTGTTTGGCTACATTTGCAAATTACCCCATTCCCAGTAACATTTTCACAGTCCTGTCAGCCCTATCACCCCCTCTGTTTCTATTAACCTGGTGCATAGCTTGCTCTTGTTGAATATTAAAATGTAAGTATTGACTAGGAGACAAAGACAGGAGGGGGTAAGATGTCTCACATCGTTAGAGTTAAGTGGTAAGTCTACACAACAGAACCTCAGACCCCCAAAGTAAATGGCCCCTGGACTCTATTATTCCTAGCACTCTTGTTTTAGTTCCTTTAACAACTTCAAGTAAGAAGCTTGATGTTCTGCCATCAGCTGATTTTGATCAGCTGGGTTTTAGTGGCAAATGGGAAAGACTGAAAGGCCCCCAGGACTTGGAGGCAGAAAGCAGACTTTCATGAGCAGTCCTGGTCGGGATAGTTCCTCAAAGAACCAGGCAAATTGTCTTTTGTCCTTCTACAGTTTATATAGGGTTTGTAAGTAGGAATTAAGTACAGAAGCAGAGTAAGTGGTTGCTTACATATGATGTCATTATTATTGATTGGTCTATAACAAGTTCAAACTTAGGTTAGAAAACAGTTCATGGTACAGTCAGCTAGATAAGAGTGACAGATGTTTGGAACATGTATCAATTCAGAGTAGAGTCAACTAGGTAAGGGTGACTTATGTACTTGGACTGGGTATCAGTTCAGGAAAGTGCTGGCCAAGAAGGAATTTGTTGGGGCTAAAAAAGTAAAGCTGCTCCTGGCCAACATTATCCTGGACTGGTGTCTCACCTGTCTGTCACCCATTTTATTTTTCCATCTCACAGTCAGGTCTGTGGAAAGCAGCATGGTCCAAGAATTCCTCCCTCCCTGGCTGCTTCTCAAACTGATGCCTGTTAACTACAGATGCAAGGTGTGGGCATTTCTGACCTACATGGCCTGAATGCACCACTCTGGAATTCCTCCATCAGTCGTCACTACCATTAGCTGTTCCCTAGTTGTGGGGGGGGTGCTTGGAGTTTCTATCTTTTCATGTATTGGTCTTTCTTCATGTTGTAACTTTTGGCTCCCTTTTTAATCTGATTTTTCTTCTCTATCATCCTCCCCGTTTCATGTTTATGCTCTAGATAGCATGATGTTTAAGAGTCTTGAAATAGATCTTACAAATCTGCAAGAGGAGACTATTTCTGGTGACACTGTGTCATCCTCGCCATGAGTGTTGCTTTTGTTTTGGACCTGGAATTAGTACTAGAGCCTGAGAAGTATGACCAACAGTACCTGGCACCTCTGTGCCAAGTTTTGGGAGTCACAGGCCTCATTAGTATAGATTTTATTTGTGGCTGTCCATTCTGAACACAAGCTCCTGGCACAAACAGGATGCTGCCTGCATTACGGACACCATCCTCCCCTCAACCCTGCTGTGATTCTCTGAAGGTCTCAGGTATGAAGGTGCTGGCAAATAAACAAGGCCAATCAGCCTGGGCTGCATCTGAGAATTCCCCAGGGCTTAAGTGGGTCTTGTCCTGTAGGTCAGTTGAGTAACCTCAGACCTGATCCTCACACTGCTGCCGCCTTCCCTCTGTTGGCCACCAGAGACTCTGTGAAACCTCCATGACAGGCCCCTCCAGCTAGGACTGCTGCTTTGGCGTGTCAGCTCTCAGGACTGTGTCTCCTCAAGAACATGGCCCTTGGGATAGGGATAAACACATTGTCTTCTCACCATGGCCCACAGCTGGCCCAGTGCAACAAATGTGTTCATCTGCTGTGCACCTCTCTTGCCACGTCTCTGGCTCCCGCTCCTGGGTATCACATGTAGAGGACAAAAGAGCACACAGACTTCTGTAGCCATTTGTGTCTTTCCATTAGCCCCTCCCTGTACCCACTGACTGCACAGTCACAGGGCAAAGAGCAACCTAAGCTACTTTATAAAAGGACGGCTGACTTGCACAAACACACTGGGTGTTCCAGATTGTACATCCTGGTCCTAGGTGCCTGTAGTGATCACGACTTCCTGTGTGTCCAGAGGAATCTAGTGGTCTCCATGGGGCTGCTGAGCGGGGATGCACTGTGGCCTGTGGCCGTGGCCCTGGCCATCTTTCTGCTCCTGGTGGACCTGATGCACCGGCGCCAACGCTGGGCTGTTCGCTACCCGCCAGGCCCCATGCCAGTGCCCGGGCTGGGAAACTTGCTGCAGTTGGACTTCCAGGACCTGCCGTACTCCATCTATAAGGTGAGAGAGATGGTGGTGGAGGGTCACGGAGGTGAGGGTAATGCCGCAGCAGCAGACAGTGGTGGGTGAAGCTACAGGCTCGATAGGGACCTGAGCCAGTAAGAAGCAGGTGGAGAGGCCCAGGTGAGGACAGTGCAGGGCCTGGGACTTTGCAGGGAAAAAGTGTGGGAGGACAAAGGCCGGGAGATGGGTGGCACTTGGGAGTGTGTTCTGGATCCAGTTGGGTAGGGCAGAAGTGATGTAGGCCCCAAGTCCCTTCTGACGACATCGGGGAGAAAGGTCCTGGGGGCGGGGGAGCAGGGTCACGATCTCAGCATCAGTGGGGAAATCCAGGCTAAGAGAGGGGCAGGGATGCCCTTCACATCATCTGTTGCTACGGGGAGTTGGCTTACTGCTCACATCTGTGAGTCTGAGCTTCCTCTTGTGCACAACAGGGTGCTAGTGGATCCTGACAGTTCCACACTCATCAAGATCGTGGCTGGGAGACCAGATCCCTAGTGAGCCCCAGACAGAAGCAGTGGCCTCTCCAGCTTCAAGACAATCTCAGCCTTCCCTAGTGAGCAAGGGAGCCTGGGCTCGAATCCCTGGCCCGCAAAGAAGGAAAGAAGGGAGTCAGATCTCCATAGTGCTACACTCAGTCGGGGTGTCCCAAGGCTTTCACGCTGAGTTGAGGCCTTCAGCTTGGCGGGGACCGTGAGGTGACAAGTGTTGTGACCTCTGACTGCAGTTGCGGAACCGCTTCGGGGACGTGTTCAGCCTGCAGCTGGCCTGGAACCCAGTGGTCGTTATAAATGGGCCAGCAGCTGTGCGGGAGGCCCTGGTGAAGCACAGCGAGGACACCGCAGACCGGCCTCCGATGCCCATCTACGAACACTTAGGCTTTAGACCACACACCCAAGGCAAAGGATGGGTGGCAGACAGGCCGTAGTTGGGGGTGGTGGCAGTGACCCATCGAAGGACTGGGTCTAATGGGGCAGTGATGTGGGTGAGGGACACAAGCAAAACTCCTGAATTGTGGGTGGGGACTAGAAAATGACCCCCTGAGAAGCTGTGTGTGGGCAAAGATGTGGGTGCGCTGGGGTACAGCCTATACTCAGGTGTGTAAGAGCTGTGGCAGCACAGAGGTCGTGGCGGGGTGCACTTGGTCACACTCGCATGATCACCTCATCTCGCAGGGATCGCCCTGGCCCACTACGGACCCGCCTGGCGTGAGCAGCGCCGCTTCTCCGTATCCACTCTGCGCAACTTCGGGCTGGGTAAGAAGTCGCTGGAGCAGTGGGTGACCGAGGAGGCCGCCTGCCTCTGTGCCAGCTTTGCCAAACAGGACGGTGGGTATGGGCAGGGCGGTAGGTGATGGGCTGAGGGGTACCAGCAAGGGACAAGGTAGACAAAGGCCAGGGCGAAGGGCGACACTGAACTGCATTCCTTCTTCCAGGACGCCCTTTTAGCCCCAGCATCCTCCTGAACAAAGCTGTGTGCAATGTGATCTCCTCCCTCGTCTATGGGCGCCGCTTTGAGTATGATGACCCGTTCTTGATCAGGACAGTGGACCTGCTGGAGATGCTTCTGAAAGAGGAATCCAGCTTAATGACTCAGGTGCAGGGCTCACGGGAGTCTGGATGATTCCTCTTTTGTGCAGCTAGGCCTCTCAGGAAGATAGGGGAGATAGGACCAAGGGCATTCTGGAGAGGCACTGCAGCGGGAAAGGCCCGGAGGCGGCAACTGTCACACAACAGTGGGAGAGGTGGACCGGGTTCTGGGCTGTAGATGGGGCAGAGTCTGCAGCTCCTGTCTGCATAGGGAGCCACCGACACTCGTGAGGTTTCCAGGGTAGCACATTGCTTCTGGTAACCCCGTACAGAGCATGGAGGAGGCACTAGAGAGGAAGCAGGTCACCCTCAGGCACAGGCCAGCCAGGGTCCAGTGAAGGTTGGGACCTGAGCCTGATCCATGTGAGAGCTGTGTGTAGGAAAGACCACCGCCTTGCCTTCTCTGTGCCCATCACAGGTACTGAACATGTTCCCCTGGCTGCTGCACATCCCAGGGTTAGTTGAAAAGGTTTGCTCTGGGCACATTGCATTGAACGCCCTCCTGGATACACTGGTAACCGAGCACAAGACAACCTGGGACCCGGCACAGCCCCCCCGAGACCTGACCGATTCCTTCCTGGCTCAGATAGAGAAGGTGAGGGGCGACTGCCAGAAATGAAACATGGGGCTGCGGTGTTGGGGACGTGTGAGGGGTCAGGTCATGGAAGTGGAACCCGGGCATCTCCCAGTAGAGAGGTCCAGGGTGACAGTGCAGATTAGGAGGCTGTTTGGGGCTCCGTCCTTCGATACCCTGACCTAACCTCTCTGCCTGGCCCAGGCCAAGGGGAACCCTGCGAGCAGCTTCAATGAAGCAAACCTGTGCTCTGTGACATCTGACCTGTTTGCTGCGGGGACAGTGACCACGTCCCGCACACTGTCCTGGGCCCTGCTCCTCATGATCCTACACCCGGATGTGCAGCGTGAGCCTGGCTGGGAACTGTGTGGGAGGTTGAGGGAGGAAAGGTAGAGGGAGGGTCCCTAGCCGGTTATGACACCTGGGGTTCCAAGCACTGACATGACCCAAACTCCTGACAGAGTGACATGGTGGCAGCCCTAAACTTGGGTAGGGGGTAGAGGGAGAAGGTCAGGGCACAGCTCCCCGGCACTGACCTGCCGTGGGGATGAATGTCTGTCCAGGCCGTGTCCACCAGGAGATCGATGAAGTGATAGGGCAGGGGCGGCGCCCAGAGATGGGGGACCAGGCCCGCATGTCCTTCACCAACGCCGTGATTCACGAGGTGCAGCGCTTTCGGCACATCGGCCCATTGGGTACACCCCACATGACGATCCGAGACACTGAGGTTCAGGGCTTCCTCATCCCCAAGGTAGGCCTGGGCCCTCCTTCCCCAGCATGGCCAAACCAGGTGTGGCTAAGCAGCACGCTGGCCACTGCTCATGGATCCCATAGGGCTGCCAGGTCCAGACTGGTTGTGTACAGTGCTACCCTGTCCCCACAGAACCCCCAGGGTGCAGTGATAAGCTACAAGAAGCCAGAGCCTATTGGAAGATGCCCTGTAGACAGGAGCAGGTGGCAGTGAGACACCCATAGGAGTTTCGTGATGTAACCTTTCCAGTGTAACAGAGGGTGCTGAGGGCTTGTGGAAGGGGTCCCGTGGTGATTACCGGAGGGCCCTGGGGTTCCCGACCTGGTCCACTTTCATGCTGGACACCTTTCAACAGGGTACCACACTCATCACCAACCTGGCTTCTGTGCTGAATGATGAGACCACCTGGGAGAAGCCCTACCACTTCTATCCTGGACACTTCCTGGACGCCCAGGGCAACTTCATCAAGCATGAAGCCTTCATGCCATTCTCAGCAGGTGTTTGTGGGGTCCTCGCCTTCCTGCTCCCATTTCAGTGTAACTTGGAAAGGAGAAGCCCAGGCCCAGGCTAACCGAGTTCCGTTTCACAGGCCATCGTGCATGCCTCGGGGAGCCCTTGGCCCGCATGGAGCTCTTCCTCTTCTTCACCAGCCTGCTGCAGCACTTCAGCTTCTCAGTGCCCGAGGGACAGGCGCAGCCCAGCGACTGTGGGGTCTTTGGAATTCTCTTGATCCCGTGCCCCTACCAACTCTCTGCTGTGTCCCGCTAAAGGGACATCCCACACAACCAGGCAGGACCTGGCAGCACTGGGGAATCCAGGCTCGGATGGCCTGGGTGCTGCTTGGCCTCATTGGATGGTGGTCATGCTCTAGAAGAAGGGCCCCAGACCTACCTTGAGGATGAGGAAGCCTTGTACTGGAGTGTCACAGGAAGTCGTCGGGTGTACACTGATAAGGGGCATCCATCACCAGCATCCACCTGAAATCTCTTCACCTGCACCAAGCACCCAACCCAGCCCCAGCTGGGGACCTGCATGCACAATAAACCAGGCTTGTGGCCATTGCTTGATAATTAGTCCCTGTCTATTTTAAATCCTCAGCCCCCTGTCTGAAGGGAGCCCTGACCCTCTGCCTCATCCATCCCACAGGACTACAGATGTCTACAAGGTAAATGGTTATAATGATGGTCAGCAGGTGACAGCTTTCCCCACATCACCCACAAAGAACCAGCACTGGCACTGGGTTGGTGGCAAACCCCAGGCAGCAGCAGGGGCTCCGTGGGTCTCAGGTGGGGCCGCGTGGGAATGGGTTCTTCTGGGCATCAGTAGAGGGCCTGGGAGGAGGAGGACAGATGGTACTGTGATCCCCAACCCACCCAGGCTCAGTGAGTTGCTAGAAGGTCTCGCAGGACTAGAAAAGTTGTCACACTCAGCGTTGTGGCTTACTACACAACAGCCAGCTGCAGTACAGGCATGTGGGGGAGATTCCCGAAAGACAGACACAGCATTCAGTGGTCCTGTCTAAGGTGAGTCCAGATGATGGTCAGTTGTCCCATCAACCAGATGCTCAGCTTCAACTGAGAATCCCAGGATTCATGGAGTTCAGTTCTGTGGGCATACAGGGCCCACACAGTTGACATCAGTGACTCAGCGTTCATGGCCCCAGGTCAGACTGAGGCAGCCCGGGGAACACCTAGATCACATCACTGGCATAAACTATGTGATATTGCTTAGGATTACAGGCTTGACCCCTAAATACACTTGTCATGAAGGACATTCAAAGCCTTAGGGAAAATCTCCCAGCAAACTATCAGAAGTTGGGCCTTTTTTTGCACATCAGATTGAAAGTTCTCTGGCCAGCTGTGGTGACTACTATACCACTTCCCTTGGTTCTGTAGAAAAATGATCACATTTTCATGAGCATCTGTTCCTTTGCTTTACTCCTCTTGCTCTTTTTTTTTTTTTGGTGGTCTGTGTTGAATGTAAGGAACAAGTCTGCAACTAAGCTATACCCACAGGCTCTCCATAACCACACTTACTTTGTAGTGGTACAAAGTTCATTAGGAAGAGGCATCCATCACCAGCATCCACTCCCAGATTTCTTTTCATCTGATCAACTGAAGCTTTAATCGAGTGGCCTCCAACCTTTTCGACAACAGGGACCGACTGGCTTTGTAGAGGACAACTTTTCCATGGACAAGGAGTATGGGGGTGGTTTCAGGGTGATTCAAGTCCATTACATTTCTTGGACACTTTCTTTGTATTCTTACTACATTATAATACACAATGAGATAAGTATAGAACTCACCATGTGTAGAATCACTGGGAGCTCTGAGTTTGTTTTCCTCCCACTAGATGGTCTAATCTGGGTTGATGGGAGACAGGCCTGAAGCACGTTGGTCCAGTTTACTCCATAATCTCAGATTGGTTGCCATCACTTGAGAAATCCCTGCTTCCCTCAGATAGGATGTTGGAAATGGAAGCAGGCTTTTCCTTGCTCTCTGGCAGTCTCAAGATATTTGGCTTTTTATCCAGATTTGAGACTGTCTCAAATGTACTTTTAAGAAACTGTCATTTGTGATCTCAAGCACTGATACTCATCTAGCACGAGCAAGGTCAGTTCACCTTGCTTATTCACAAATGGGCCACAAAGCTGTATCTTCCTGGTTCGAGGGTCTTTTGTGATTGGGAAGAGTTGTGCAAAGTGTTTTGACAGCTGGATAGACAACCATGCACCAGCTGGGAGAAAGAAGGCCCTTGCTTAGTCTTTGTCTAATTCTTCACTAATGTTTGAATCATGTTAAAATCCCAGTTTTTTTTTTTCTTTTTTTGATACCAGGGATTTAGTTTGACCTTGTGCTTGTGAGGGAGGTGGCAACATTGCTGAGCTAAATCCCTGGCCCAAAATCCCAGTATTTATTCATCGTCCTCCTAATTCCAATCTGGCTTTGAATGCAGCTACTTAATCTGCTGACTTCAAAACAGTTCTTGATCTCCTCTGCAGTGACAGACTGAGTTTGTTAAGCAGGTTGACTGTGTCACCCAAGTTAACAAGTTTTGTGACCTATTGTTTGTCACTGAAATGTGCTTGTAGCGTGAACTGTTTTTTTCTAAAGTGGTTCCCTGAACTCAAAAGCTCTGGCCAAGTGATCTGCCTTTAAATAACCATCTCACTTCTGTGTATAAGAGCGAATGTGGGCTGGGGATTTAGTTCAGTGGTGCTGCTGTCTGCCTGCCTTGCTAGTGCAAGGTCCCAAGTTTGATTCCTGGTACAGAGAGAGAGAGAGAGAGAGAGGGAGGGAGAAAATGTGTGCACTATGTCCATCTCAGAGCTACACAAACATAAATTAAGGACATGTGCTTTAGTGTGGTTGATAGTTGTAATCACATCCTGCTAACTTAGTGACATTTCTCAGCTCACCAGCCTTTCTCTGCACATGACACAATGCATAGCCTCTGTGTAGTAAAACCAGGAAGCTGTGCCATCTTGGCAGCCACTCCATCCATGCCTATACTGACACAAAATGACGAGTTCAGTTTTTGTGATATGTAATCACTCAAGGACTTGTAGCCCGGGTGTAGTTCATGCCTGTCATCCCAGCACTCAGGAGGCTGAGGCAGGAGGCTTTTGTCAAGTTCAAGGCCAGCCTGGGCTACAGAGTGAGTTCAAGCCCAGTTTGATCTAGGTAGTGAGATCCTCTCTCAAAAACCAAAAAACAAAACAAAAATTCTACAGCCATAGTATAGGTTGGCAACAAAAATGCATATAACGTATCCTCTTGCCCATCCCCCTGAAAGGTATGCTGTGAAACAACAAACATCGTTGCCTTTTTGTCAGCTTTGGTAGACTTGTCAACCTGAGTTTTGTACTATCAATGACGATTGTGCCTCGGTATTACTGTGCTCTTTCCAGTTCACCTATTTATGTTGTTACCTGAAAGGGGAACATGCGTCACAGTGTGAACTGCAGCTGCTCCAAAAGTTCACGGCAGATGTCCTCAGCCGCAGGCAGGATCACGTCCTCACCAGTAGTAAAGGACTTCTTAGCATTACTAATGCGTTTAGCCAGTAAGACTGATGCTCTCAGTGCAGATATGGCTTCAGTATCAGTGCAGTCATGGGCTTCATTACTTCTATCTTTGTATTTACTTTTTTTGTTCTTGTAACCAGTGTTGGAACTCAAGACCTTGTACTTGTGACGCAGATGGCAGGACCCTGACCCTTTGTGGCTGCTTCCTCTTTTTTTTTTTCCTTCGTGGATTCTTAGATAGCTAGTATCCACATATTATACAAAGCAGGCTGCAATACTTCTATGCTTTGTATTTACCTTTTTTGTTCTTGTAACCAGTGTTGGAACTCAAGACCTTGTACTTGTGACATAGATGGCAGGACCCTGACCCTTTGTGGCTGCTTCCTCTTTTTTTTTTTTCCTTCGTGGATTCTTAGATAGCTAGTATCCACATATTATACAAAGCAGGCTGCAAAATGAATCACCTGTTGCAATGAACCACTACTTTAATTGGAGCTCTTGGTATTTTCTTTTAAATGCAGCTTGCTTTTTGTGGACAGTCTTAGAGTCTTCTTGACCTTGTCTTTGGGTCTTTACCTTTTCAAAGAAGTTTACCAGTGAACTAGAGTTTTTTACTCAATAAGGGTGAGCTTATGCATTTACTAAAAATATGACTGAGCCTTGTATACAGTATGAAACAGAGGTGCAGATGGATGCAGTAAATAAAATACTAGCAGGCTATGGGTGGAATACAATATATGTTGGATTTTCACATAAAGCTCACCACCAAATGCAGTTGTATATTGAAGTTCAGCAAGTGACTTGCGCTCGCTGAGAGGGTTTTGATGAATCTGTAAGCAGTTGATTTATTGTGGTCTGTGTGCAGTCAAGCCTCTCTGCTAATGTTTATCTGTATTTGTATCCAGTACTCGATGCTATCATCGTGACTTCACCTTCACTTCCGACCGTCAGGTAACCTGTTCTCATCAGGAGCACAACCCAGTGGATCCCTTGCATGTATTATTCACGGGAGGGTTTGCACTCCTATGAGCCTCTAATGCCACAGCCGATAGGATGTGGCGCTCCTGAGGTGCACATCCCAGTACTCCAGCTGTCTGCCTCCTACCCACCCACCATCACACACCCTGCAGGACAGTTCTGTGGTGCCTCAGTCCCCCAGACAGGCTGTCTTCCCTGCAGTGACCCTCAGTTGGCCAGCAAAGTCCTCCGTGCAGCCTCCACAGAAGTCTTTCTCCAGCCTGAGGCTCTGTTCGAATGGCCTCAAAGCTCTTCTGCCTTGGTACACCAGCTCTCCCACCTCTCCGCACCCCTCTAGATCATGCTTCTGGAGCAGGGATGTACATGTCAACTTCCCATGGTGGCCCCAGGCAAGGCCACTGCGACACAACCAGTGTGTTCATCTGGGCAGCTCTACTGCAGGTCTCTGTTCCCCTCCCCTGGGTATCACATGCATAAGGGAAGAGGCTTCTGCAGTGGCCCCTTCCTTTGCTTTGTCCCCCACCCAGTGGTTGCAGAGTCAACTGAGAGGCTGGCTCCCACCAGAGGACAAAGGGAAGTTTCAGCTTTTTAATCAGAAGAAAGATCTCTGATGGAAATTAGCAAGGAGACATACCGAAGTTTCCTTGTATGTGATGAGTCGCTTCTCTGTACTACTTGAAACTTCTCACTGCACTCGCCCTGCTTGGACTGCGTCCTGAGAGCAATATCGCCCCAGATCAGTCAGAACCGGAAGATCTTTGGGAAGATGGGTGGACTACAAGTCCCAGAAGTCTCGGCGCACACGCGGACTACAGTTCCCAGGGGCCTCCACGTGAGTAGAAGTAAAATCCCGTGAGGGCCCTGGGTCTTCTGCCAAGTCCTCCCAGCACGCACGGGTTGAGGACCTCTCTGCTCGCAGCCTTCTCACCTGGCATCCTCCTCGGAGCGCCCTCAGCACCGGTCTCTGCCCGCCTCCCGGGGCCGCCAGTCTCCCGAGGTAAAGGGTGACCTGAGCAGCTGTTTCCTCGAGTAAAGGGCAAGGAGGAGGCTCGCCGAGCTCAGGGGACCCTGGAGGTCCCGGAGCTGTGGGGCTGGACCTGCCTTCCCGCCCAGGCGAATCCGGTGGGGTGAGAGTGAGTGTAGGGGAGGCTGGAATGAGACGGTGTCACTTTGTCCCCTGAGAGCCTAGGACACCAGAGCCATCGGGCACGGCTTAAAGGGCAGGTGTCTTGGGCGGAACCCAGAGGTTCAGATTCCAAAGCTATGAGGTGAGAGTCGGGAAGCCGCATTTAATAAGATCCACAGATAATTCTCGGGTTCACCCGAAACTAAGCGCCTCCGTCCTGCAGTGAGGAGGGTGGAGGCCTGGGGCAGGGACGTCAGCCCCGTTCATACCAGGGTTCTGGACTTGCTGGGCGCAAGCCGTGACTGGCAGATGAGACCACTCTTCTTGGTATCTTCCTTCTTACCCTCGGGTCCACCCACGACTTTGGTGCTGAAAGGAGTGCTTGCCTCTGGCCATCTCTGAGGACGACCACCCCCAGCCCGACCCCCCACCCCATTTCATTAGGTTAAATTGAAACACAAATTTTACAGTGAACCCAGAAGGAATTTTACAGTGAATGCCCACAGTCCACCAGCTGGAATATACAGTTATCAGTCTGTTGTACTTTATCACAGTTCTCTCCACCCACCCATCCATCCTATTTCTTTTGTTGTGAATGTAAAACTCTTTGGGGGACATCAGAATTTCCCTGTAAACTACTCAAGCATGTGTGCCATCAACTAGAGACTTAGAATTCTTCTGCTTATTGATTTTAAAATAACAGGAACTGGTATTTGGAAGTGATTTCAGCTCTAGCTGTAAGATCTTAGGTTTTTTTGCAGAGTGAGAAGAGCTTTATATATGTTATTAGTAGGATATTAAAACAGCCACCCCTGGCTCTAGTTTCACCATAAGCACAGAGATATAGATTGTATGATAATACTTCAGGGAGAAGTTGTTTGGAGCAAGAAGGAATGGAGTGGTCCCACAAGCCAGTAGCCTCAGCAGATCAAACTGGCAGTGACTGAAGTGAGTCTTCTTGCGTGCTCGGTGTCCTATCTTTATACTATAAACCCACCCAGTTTGAACCTGTTCATTGTGTGTGATGTCTATGATGTAGCAGCGGGGTGCACCTAGGGACAGCCTAGTCTGGCTTAGTCTCTGAGCCTGTGGGCCTCCCTCGTCTGGTCACCCTCTCTACTGCTGTGTAAGTCATCAGAGAGCATGCTGCCACTAATGGTGGGGTCCTGGCACCAGTACTGTCTGGACTTAAAGTGACAGATCAAACTGGAGGTCTTTCTCTGTCACTTCAGAGCTGGCTGACAAGAGGCCTTCCCAGAGCCTCACTTGTCACATCTATGATAGGCAAAGACCAGCACCCAGGCCCGATACAGGCTATATATCTGCTCTAAGTGCTGAAAAGACGAAGACCCCAATGTAGACAAGTAAAAACAATTCGAGGGCCGGGGATTTATTTAGCCCAGCGGTTTGGTGGCCTGCCTCCCAAGCGCAAGGATCTGAGTTCGATCCCCAGTACCAAAAAAAAACAAACAAACAAACAATTCGAAGCCATGCAGCACAGTGCTAGGACGACCAAGCACGTTCTGATTCCTTCCACAGAAGCAGAGGTGATGCATTTTGGTAAATTGGGTCATTTCTCCATGAGCAGTTCTTACTTGGTGAATTATTACCTGTCATCCAGGGAGGTAGAGCGTAGGATCATTGTCCCAGCTGAGGAAGCATCCTGAGCTTCTCAGTGACTTGCCTGTGGCTGCCAAATAATGCAGAGTAGAGGACACACACTCAGTTGTCCTAAAACAGAAATTGAATCGAGGGAGAGAGAAGGAAACTTGGACTCTTGCAGCCCTAGAGAAACAGTGCTTTTTCTGTCTGGATCTTTGGTCAGAAACAAAGCCTTTTTCATAAGGGAGTCAAGGAATGTTCCCTGACCACAGTTGTGCTCTGGACAAGGGACTATGGGTAGTGAACTTTTGGGTGAGGAGTAGCACAGGAAGTTCACTCAGATGACACAGTCCTTCAGGGACAGGCAGTATGTATGGATGTTTCTGAGAAGTGTGAGCAACTTCCTTTGGGCTGGAGTGCACAGTGGTAGGGCTAGGCCATGAGGTTGAACCCAGACTTTTGCCCTGAAATATTGCCCATTGGAGGAGATGATAGGTCTGAAAGCTTTTTGAAGCTGCATTTAGTGGAACTTGCTAACTGGTGAAGGTTTAAGAGGAGGAAAAGTCTGTGGTGCCTCTCAGCTGTCCATTTTGGTGACTTGGATTTGGGAGATGATATAGGGCTGGGTGTGTGGGGAGCCCCTGCCTAGGAGTGTGAGCCAGGCTGCAGTCCTTATCCTCCAGTGCAGACTCTGTGTCATGTGCTGCTTGGTCCTGTGGAGAAACTGGTCCCGGACAGGGTCCCTATGGTTCATGACCTGCAGGTCTGGCTGGGAGGCTGGGTCCTTGAGCACAACCTGCTAATTCCCTGTGACTGTGAGTGACTGTTGCCCAGGCCTGGAAACTCCCCCTTTGTGATGCTTCCCGTGCCCACCAGCTCACTTCCCCTTCTCAGCTGGAGCGCCTGCTGTCACTGAGCCTCATCTGGCCAGCTGGGTTTTGCTGACTGTCTTTTGTAATTTTTTCCTCAAGGGTGACTTGCCTTCCCTGGTGGGAAGTTCCCCAAGGGAAGGACCGAGAAAACAGTGACCTCTGTAGAAGGTCCAGTAATAGTGTTTCAACCTATTAACATGTGTGTTCCTGGGAAGACAGACATTGTAATTACATAGTCATGGAGCTTTTCTTATTTAATTATTATTACTTGTCAGCCTTTTGGCTAAGGTGAAGTATAGTATCTTATTTAATTAATGCACTTAGGCTTGTTGTATTATTTTGTAAAATATTTATTTTCAGTAAAATATTTTTTAGCACCTGTGATATAAGAAGTACAAAAAAAAAAACCAAGTTTTTATGATGTTGTTATAAGTACATGTACAACATCACTACTACTAAAACAAAAAACGGTTGCTTATTAATTTTTGGAAAGCAAAGAGTTGCAATCAGATGTTCAATGTAAAGAAAAATTTGATCATATCTCCTTGTGTATAAGCAGCCTATCCATCCTCCAATTGACTAGGAAGGGTGTGACAGCAAAGGTTAAAGAAAAAGACAACAGAGGCTCGCATAATTTGAAAGTCTACGGTGAGGCCAGGCGGTCAGTGCCTCAGAGCAGGCAAAGACAAGGACTCGCCAAGCTAGCCATCATTTACTGGGTACACACAATAATGGAGGGAGTCTCAGGCGACCTGGATGGCAGCAGCGGTCCTGTGTCAGTGGGAACCTCATGCCAATGAGGGAGGAAAGCAGGGCTTTCCTACAACAGGAGGTGGGATCAGTTAAGCTGGTAAGGAACTTGTCCCTCCCTAGGTGAAACCTTTTTATTTTTGTATTACCGCTCAGTTCTCAAAGAACCAGGATGTCTTCAGCTGATGTAATCTTGCCCTTGAGTGCCTGAGGCCTCAGCTGTGACTGGAGGCAAAACGGAGTTATGTTTCCTTATGCCATAGCCTGCTGGTGGGGAAGGCAACACTGGGCCTTAGACAGCTAGAGTCATACGTTAATTATGAAGCGATTTTTCCCCAAAACTTATGGAGGATGGCTCTGACACTTGCCAGACTTCTATAAGACCTCTCTTCCCAGAGAGTAATGTCTCTCCCTTAACAGTCACTCCTCCCTTCTGTATCGTGGCTTATTCGTGTTACCTTTTGACAGTGTGTACATTTGTGAATACCTGTTTTGAAAATTGAAATTAGATCAGAAACTTCCGACAAGCACCGTGAGAAGTCACGAAGAATTGCAACCAGTTCATCAAACCAGACACTGATGTCATTCTTTATGAGGTACAGGATTTGCATCCCAACTGCTGAGTTTACCTTTCATGGCCAGGGGCTCACTCATCCTGGATGGCCACAATTCAGGTACCACTGAGTCCACCTCATACTAGAGGCCAGGTGATGGTGCTCTTGGGGTGCCTCTCCCTTTATCCTCTGTCACCAGAAAGCATCATTGGTGTCCTGTCCCAGCCCCCAAGGATGCAGTTTCCAGGCCCCTGTGAGTGTGAAGGTGAATTTCAGGCCAGGCTGGAGTCAAAGGAGAACAACTCTCTGGACTGCAACCCTGGGTGATGTCCTCCAAAGGACTGGGTGGGGCAGGTCCCACAGGGTTGGACGGCACAGGAAATGTTTATGGACTTCAGACCCGCCCTAGGGAAAGGGATGAGCCTTGGGCTGTGGAGTAGGCAGCAGACAGGCAAGACCCTGATGCTAGACGTGCTGTGCCACTACACTGTGTGACCTGGGCTTCTCTCTCCCACCCTGCACTTGTTTTCCTTTCTATCCGAGAGAATCACACCAGATGGCTCCTGACTTCCTTCTTCCTTCCCTGAATTGGCCCTGTGAACCTTGCTGTCTAAAGGACCTACTAGTGGCCCCAACTGCTGTCTTACCTGTGTCCTCACCCTCACAGTGACTTCTGGGTGGGGCATGTGGACAGTACTCATGGGTACCTAATGACCATAAGAATACCCCGGAGTCTTTGGTGCATTTAGGGAACATCTTGGGATAGAGAACCCCAGACACTCAAGCCACTGTAAGGCCTCTTCCCAGCTGTTTTGTTTTCTTTGTACTAAGGACTGAATCCAGGGCCTTTGCACTGAGCCACATCCCTAGCCCTTTAAAAATTAAGTGAAGAGCCAGGTGTGGTGGCGCATGCCTCTGATCCCAGCACTTGGGAGGCTGAGGCAGGAGGATCACTGTGAGTTCAAGACCAGCCTGGGGTACATAGTGAGTTCCAGGTCAATCTCAACTACATAGTGAGACCCTGTCTCAAAAAACAAACAAACAAACAAAACCTCAGAAAAACAAACATACATCTAAAAATTAAGTGAAGGGCCAGGGATTTCGCTCAGTGGTTCCACCACCTGCCTCGCAAGTGCAAGGACCCGAGTTTGATCCCTGGTACCAAAAAAAAAAAAAGTGAAATAGATCTTTAGTTGCTCAGTTGCCCAGGCTTGGCTCAAACTTGTGATCTTCCTGTCATACCCTCCTATAATGCTGGGTTCTCAGTGTGCACCACCACAACTGCTTTAGCATTCCCTTAAATCCCTTCAGACAGGGCTCCTCAGCTCATAGCACCCCTGGGATTATGATCTGCCAATTGACACTGAGTCAGAAGGCTGCCAGGGCCCATGGACCACTGCAGGGTATCCACGAAGGTGACAGGCGTTCACTGAGGTGAGGTAGTGTCCCTGGAGGTGTCAGTAGAGAGTGTGGGTGCAGGCAGATGGGGTTTGCCTGAGCAGCTGTGGAGGAGCCAAAAGAAAGCCCTGGACCATGAGAAGCAGCAACTTGAGAGTTTATTGGATTCTTTCATGGATTCTTTCTCATTCATGGCCCTCAGTATTAGGGGTGCCAAAGGCTGAGAACCATTATGCCCAACTTTCTTAAGAGCTGGAGAGCTTCAAGCACTGGGTTTTCCTGCATGTTCTCTACAGCAGAGGACTCAAAAATGCAAAAACAGGTAAGCTTTGTGGGTTCTTTCCTGGAAGAAACTTTACTGTATGATGCCTGGGGGAATCATTCAGCTGTGACAAAGTATGTAAGAGGTTCAAAAACTCCAAGTAGGATAAACTCCAAGAGATCTATACCACTCAATATAGTAGTTGTCAAAAGGCAGAATTTTGAAGGAGCAAGAAGCAAGCAGCGTGTCCTGAACATAGGATTGGCAATAGCATTAGTATTGACTTCTAATCAGAAACCTCAGAGGCCAGAGAACAGTGGCTGCAGGATGTGTGTACAGGCAGGGAAAGGGTCTTCTGGGCTCCACCAGTTGTCGGGGTTAGGAAACTAGTGAGCTCCAAACACACTGCTGGCTCCAGGCACCCAGAGTTTTAACTTGCCAGGTTCAGGCTGGAGCCCAAGTACCTGGGTCCTGGGTGGGCAGAGGACTCCATGCAGAGCCTTAGTGGAGCATCTTCCTGATAGGAGAGGCTCCTCCAGCAATCACAGGGACCCCAGGCTGTGGGTCTGAGTCCCATGTATGTGTGTGTACAAGAGAATACAAGTGCCGGCGTGTGACTCTTGTGTGAGCGCTAGGTGTGTGGCTTGGTAGGACCTAGAATCAGTGTGGGTGTATGGGGGTGTGAGAAGATGTGCAGGAACGTACTTGTGTGTGTAAGATTAGGTGTCACGTGTGCAGTATGCATTGAAAGGACTGGGCTACTTGGATCTGGATGAACGCCACCCACCCCTGAGGCTTCACGTGTTAAACTTTAATGCCATTCTGAGGGCTGTGAGGATGAAAACTTACTCTGACTGGAGATAAAGATGGAGCCTTTGGGAAAGGATCGCCATAAATGAGACCATTAGAGTGGGGCACTAGGACTGAACCCTGGTGGCCTTCTAAGTCCAGACACACACAGGCTCCCTGTCTCTTGCCATGTGACACATCAGGACTCTGCCAGTATGAGGACCATCACCAGATGGGACCCCTTGAACCTTCAGAACCAAAAGCCAAAATCTTTATGTATGAAGTAGCCTACTTGAGGTATTTCCTCACAGTAACTGCGTAACTACTGACTGACACAGATAGAGAACCTCAGCCCGTGTTCCCTCTCATGCCCCTCTGATGACCAAGGCCTCCCTCCATTTATGGACAACAAATATTGGAGGCAGAGGCCACTCAAGAACAGGCAGGGGAGGCAAGGGAAGAGTAAGAACGTGCTCTGCGGGACTGACGTGCTACATAAGGGGTATGGAGCTAGCAGGAGAGAAAGGTGGCAGGGTTCAGTTGCACTATGCTTTTGGCTTGGAGTATGAGGGAGGGACTGGGACATTTCTCCATCGGTCACCTCCACCTCCATCCCCTGGGTGGGCACCTAGACAAGGAGAAGAGGCAAGGGCCTCTGTAGTTGTCACTGCACTCGCCCTGTCCTGCCTTCTACTCTGTGTGAACAGAGCAGCCTGGCTCCTGTATGGTCCAGTGCCCAGGGTGTGATGAGCATGTCCCTTTTGACCTTAGGTCTGTGGAGGGGTGACAGCTTCTGTGTATCCAGAGGAGCCCAGTGGTCCACGAGACAGCCATGGGGCTGCTGAGTGGGGCTGCTGTGGCCGTGGCCGTGGCCGTCTTCGTGCTGCTGGTGGACCTGATGCATCGGCGACAGCGCTGGGCTGCTCACTACCCGCCAGGCCCCGTGCCAGTGCCCGGGCTGGGCAACCTGCTGCAGGTGGACTTCTACAACATGTTGGTGTGCTGCCAAAAGGTAAAGGAGTTGGCGTCACCTAGCAGCAATGGTGGCCGACACACACACACACGCCAGCCGTGGCTGGTGGGGAAGCCACAGAATGCACAGGGAGATGCGGCCGTAAGAAGCAGCAGGCTGAAGGCTGCCCCGGGGAGGACACTTAAGGCCTGAGGGCACTCTAAGGGCACAGTGTGGGAGGGCGGGGCCAGGAGGTGAGGTGAGATACGTGGCCCAGGTTCTGGATCCAGTTGGTAGAACAGAAATTATGTATGCCATGCGTCCCTTCTGATGACATCAGAGGAACAGTCCTGGGATTGAGGGGCAGGGCCAGAGTCTGAGGGGCATTCAGTGGGGAAACTGAGACCAAGGGAGGTACAGTGATGTGTCAGTCCTGTGAAGCCTCACAGTGTGAACTACAATTTCCTCATCTGTGAAAGAAGAGGCTAATGGACCCTGTGATGATTTCCTGTGACTGGTTAATAACGGCTGGCCCGTAGGATCCAAAGTGAGTTTCTCCCCCTTAGGGGATATGAGCCCCTGGCCTCCTGACACCGGATCTGGACGCTGCTCCTCCTCACACCTGGTTCTCTATTGGCTTCCCCTGAGCCTCACACGATGAAAATCAGCAGCTCTGCATGGGTCCGGACCCTGGCTTGACGCATGCACTGACCCTTTGCCTACAGCTGCGGGGCCGTTTTGGGGACGTGTTCAGCCTGCAGCTGGCCTGGAAGCCAGTGGTCGTACTCAACGGGCTGGCGGCTGTGCGAGAGGCGCTGGTAAAGCACAGCGAGGACACCGCTGACCGGCCTCCGATGCCCATCTATGAGCACCTGGGCATTGGGCAGCGTTTTCAAGGTCAGTGAAGGCAGGGGCAGAGACAGAAATAGGGCTGGAGGAGGGTCACGGGACTCGTAGACTGTCCAGGGTCTAGTGGGGACGAACACATGGGAACAGGCTCAGGGGAAAGCCAGCGATGCAGGTGGGACCAGTAGGAAAGGGATCCCATCGTGAGGGGAGAGTAAAGAGCATGGTGGGGCAGGAGTCTCAAGGCCAAGCCCACCTGCCCCAGGGCTGATCCTGGCACACTACGGACCCGCCTGGCGTGAGCTGCGCCGCTTCTCCGTGTCCACTCTGCGCAACTTCGGGCTGGGTAAGAAGTCGCTGGAGCAGTGGGTGACCGAGGAGGCCGCCTGCCTCTGTGCCGCCTTTGCCAACCAGGACGGTAGGTGCTGGGCTCAGGGGAGCAAAGAAGGGTAGAAGGAAGGGGTGGGGAGGAGGGGGCGGACTGCGACAGGGACACCCCACATCCCTATTCCCAGGACGCCCCTTTAGCCCCAGTGCCCTCCTGAACAAAGCCATGTGCAATGTGATTGCCTCTCTCATCTATGCCCGCCGCTTCGAGTATGACGACCTGCGCTTGGTCAGGCTGCTGGAGCTGCTGGAAGACATGTTGAAGGAAGAGTCTGGCATCTTACCCAAGGTGCAGGACACAGGGGAGGCTGGGCAGGAGAGGACCCTGCGGTGGGTGAGGGGGTGAAGAGGAGAGGGCATTCTAGGAGAGGTTGCTGCAGGAGGAAAGGCCTGGAGGTGACAAATGTCACAACAGTGGGAGAGGTGTCCAGGTTTGGGCTCCAGAGGGGGCCGAGTCTGCATCTCCTGTCCTTGGGAGACACCGACACTTGTAGATTTCCAGGATAGGATGTTGCTTTTGGCAGCCCCAGCCCGGACAGAGTGTGGAGGAGGCCCTGGATCCAGCCCAGAGAAGGCTGGGGCCTGAGGCTGGTCCAGGTGAGCACTTATGTCAGGAAGGACCCAGGATGCTCTCTGTGCTGTCCCAGGTGCTGAACTCGGTCCCCATCCTCCTGCGCATCCCCGGCCTTCCAGGCAAGGTCTTTCCCGGACAGAAGGCCTTCATGGATCTGCTGGACGAGCTGCTGACTGAGCACAGGATGACCTGGGACCCAGCCCAGCCACCCAAAGACCTGACTGACACCTTCCTGACCGAGATGGAGAAGGTAAGAGGTGGCCGTCAGAGAAGGGCTCCGAGATGGGCGTCCTATGAGGCATGAGGCAAGGTGGGGCCTGGGCACCTCCCAGTGAGCCAGCATCTGGGCTGAGGGGTGCAGAACAGGGGTCACTGTGGGGCTTCCTGTCTCGTCCCCCTGAGCCCACCCTCTCTGCCTGGCCCAGGCCAAGGGGGACCCCGAGAGCATCTTCAAAAATGAGAACCTGCGCCTGGTTGTGGCTGACCTGTTCACGGCAGGGATGGTGACCACTTCGACCACGCTGGCCTGGGCCCTGCTGCTCATGATCCTGCACCCGGATGTGCAGCGTGAGCCCAGCAGGGGCTGATGGGAGGGTGAGGGAGGAAAGTAGTGGCAGGGTCCCTGAGCTGAGCTGAGACCCCTGAAACTCCAAGCACAGGCTTCATCGGCTCCTATAAGACTGACACACTCCGGCTGGTTGCAGCCCTTAACGCATGGGAGGAAAGGGTCAGGGCCAGGTCTCCAGGCACTGACCTGCCGTGGGGATGAATGTCTGTCCAGGCCGTGTCCACCAGGAGATCGATGAAGTGATAGGGCAGGGGCGGCTCCCAGAGATGGGGGACCAGGCCCGCATGCCCTTCACCAACGCCGTGATTCACGAGGTGCAGCGCTTTGGGGACATCACTCCATTGGGTTTGCCCCACATGACGAGCCGAGACACTGAAGTGCAGGGCTTCCGCATCCCCAAGGTAGGCTGGGCCCTCCTTCCCCAGCATGGCCTGTACTGGGTGAGGCCAGGCAGTACCCAGGCTTCTGATCCTGGATTCCCTAAGTGTGGCCGGGCTCAGGCTGGGTGTTTGAAATGCTGGGCACAGAGAATGAGACTCAAATCCCGCAGAACCTCTGGGGTGGTGGAATAAAAACTAGAACAAGTCACCTGGTGTTGGAGGAGACAGTACAGAGGCAGATGACATCGTTAGCACCTATGGGAGCCTGGTGACCTGGCCCTGCCATGGGATCAGAGGGTGCTGAGAAGCTTCTGGCGTTCATGGTTCAATGAAAGGGTCCAGGCGTGAGCCAGGCAGTGCGCTCATGCGTGTTTAGTGGCAGGTTTCTGTGTCCCCACCTTCACGTCCCCACCTCCTGCCAGGGCACAACGATCCTCGTCAACCTGTCATCGGTGCTGAAGGATGAGACCGTCTGGGAGAAGCCCTTCCAGTTCCACCCCGGACACTTCCTGGACGCCGAGGGCCGCTTCGTCAAGCACGAGGCCTTCCTGCCGTTCTCAGCAGGTGCTTGCTCCTTGGGTTCCCGGTCCCTGTCCCCTTCGCAGGGTGCCGGCTGACTGACCCCGTCCCCACCCACAGGGCGCCGCGCATGCCTCGGGGAGCCCCTGGCCCGCATGGAGCTCTTCCTCGTCTTCACCTGCCTGCTGCAGCGCTTCAGCTTCTCGGTGCCCGAGGGGCAGCCCCGGCCCAGGGACTGTGCACCTTTTGCTGTCCTGGTGACCCCATCTCCCTACCAGCTGTGTGCTCTGCACCGCTAAGGGGGACACCACATCCCCACTCACTCAAGCTGGGACCTGGATGTACAATTAACCGGAACCCCAAGCTGTCCTGGGCCTTTAGCAGCCTCCCCAGGGACATTTCCCACTCCTTACCTTGGCTGTTAACTGTAAAAATCAAAGGCGTAGACTGCTCTGTTTTCCTGGGTAAGGTCTATACTCGATGACTGAAGTCATACATTTAAAAGGATTTCTAACCAAATGACAAGTAGTCAATTAAAAATAAAATCTGCTGGGCTGGGGATTTAACTCAGTGGTGCCGCCACCTTCCTTGCAAGCACAAGGTCCTGAGTTCAATCCCCAGTACCAAAAAAAAAAAAAAAAAAAATCTGCTATGCCAACTCTGAAAAAGCACTGACAGTTAAAAAGTGACCCCTGTAATTTAATCGTTTGCTTTTTAAAAAAAGAGCATAAATTGTTTATAGAGCGAATGACAAAGATTAGGTGCTTGCCAGAGTAGATTATAAACTCCTAGTACTGGGAGTGGGGGAAACAGAGAAAAAGCTGCACTAGGGTATAAATGACTCTGGATAAACACTTTGAGTGTCAGGCTATTTTTGGGGCTGGTATCTCATTCTAACCAGATCAAAAAATTACAACAGTAGGTCTCATTTTTGTTGTTCCCAGCGCTCCCTCCACCTGACCTGTCTGTCGCACACAATCGTATGTGTAAGAGTTCTTTCCTCACTGTGCCCCGAGGGAGGGATCCACATGTCGATCACCAGAGAATGTCAGGAGCATCGCCCTGCCCCATACCCCCGCCTCTTCCCACCCCAGTGATGGATACTGTACCACGTATAGCACCCAAAAGGAGGGGTCAGTGGTGTCTGGGAAGGCAGGGAATAGCAGGACTCTGGCTGGAGGCCCTGCTTTCACCTCCAATCTGTCATTAACTTCTTGGATGATACCCAAGAGGCGAAGAAATCAGGAAGGCAGGGATTGACACCAGGGCTCTGTCACGCAGTTCCCAGAAGTTTCATGGCAAGGCTTGGAGGGAGCCCAGGAATGACCACCTCCCTGTGTCACAGGAAGACAAGATTGGTCTCATTCTGTGGCCCCTCAGAGGTACGATGTCCAGGCCCCTCGTAGTGCAGAGTTGTTTCTCAGGCCTGGCTGGAGTTAGGGGACACTTGGGGCTGCAGGCTAGGGCTCCGCCTTCTCAGTGGCCAGGTCGGGTTAGGGGATGAGCCTGTGGGGGCCTAGGGAAAGGACACAGCCCTGGACCCATGTGACAATGAGGGAGACAGAGAAGTAGGTGACGTGGGCTGCAGAGAGAGAGAGACAGAGACACACACACACCCTGCTTCTAGACCTCACTTTGCCATTACACCGCACAGACTCTGGGATCCTCCTACCCACCCAGGGCTGCTGTTGCCCCTTTTCCCACTGAGAAGTTTGCACCAGATGGTCGTCAATGCCTGTCTTCCTCTGATTTCTGGGCCTGTGATGCTTGTTCTAGAATCCATCCAACTCAGGGCAAGAACCGCTCTAGTCCACGTCCGTCCTCATCCCTCAAGGCATGTTCTACCATGGAGACGGCACCCAAGGTTGAGTAAGTACCATTTGCCTCTCTGTTCCCGAGACCACCTGGGACAGGGAACTACAGACAGCAGAAGCAACCCCAGGCCTCATCCCAGAGGACCCTGCAGCATCTCAACTGCGGTCTCCACAAACACTTCAGTAAGTGCCCTTGGGACAGGAAGCTCTGCATGCAGCTTGCAGCATGCCAGGTCATGGTCTGGTGCCTGGCACGGAGTTGGCAGGGCCTACACTGGCCACTGCAGAGTGTCCACTAGGGGGAAGAGTCTGGGCAGGAAGCAGTGTCCTGGAGCTGTCGGGAGAATGTACAGATGCGGGCAGGTGGGGCTTGTTTGAGCCACTGCGGGGCCCCTGGAAGGAGGCACTGGACCATTGAGGTCAGAACTCAAGGGTTTATTAGATCCCTTCTCATTCATGGCTCTGCACCTTGGGAGTGTCAGGGGCTGGAAACCAGTCCTGCCAGAACTTTCGCAGGAGCTGGGGAGCCCAGCCCCATAGCCTTTTTCCTCCTTGCTGTCTATCACGGAAGCCCCTAAAACACACAAAAAGGTGAGGCCTTTGGGTTCCTTGCTGGAAGGAGCCTTCACCCGGGCCCAGATGCCCCCCGGAATGCTGGGACAGTCAGTCACCTGTGATAAAAGGGTACCCATGCGGCCCGCTAGGGGGAGCAGTCAGAGAACACAGGCAGCATATTCACGGTCAAGGCACCTGGCTACCTGAGTTTTGTGTCTCTGCGGGTCTGGAGGGTTAGGAGGGGTGCTGTGTGTTTAACATGAGGGAGGAGGGCAGTATTTTTGCAGCAGGGTTGAGAAAGCGGTCTTACCAGATGGATATTCAGCAACTTCCTGTTGGACCTTTTTCTTTTCCTGTAATGGAAGAGGGACACAGCAATTAAGATGGGGCTGGTTCTATGTTGTGATAGGGAAACTGAGGCCCTCCGTGAGAAGTCGGGGAAGGCTGGGATGTAGACCTACTCTGTGCTCACACCAGGTCTGCTGCCTTTCAGCTCCATGAAGGATCCCTTCTCCACAATGACGACAGCTTGAACTAGTGGTCCTGGGGTTAAGCTTAGGCTCCTACTACCACCCCTGCCTTCGTGCCTCAGTCGCTCCCCACCCCGCAGTAATCCATGGTTTCTGGGGAGGACCCAGGCTAGGAATGTGCCAGTGGAGGCTTCAGGCCACCCTTACCTACGAGCCTGGCTCTCTGCACCCTTCCTAAGTAAGAATGGGGCCAGTAGCTTCATCCCCTGCAGACCTCACCTGTTCTTCCTCCTGAGGCAACGTGTCCGTCAACTCCTTGGGGGCAGAATCATTCCGTCTTCCTGTTGCTCTGGGGCTTATGGCCTGCAGGGAGAGTCAAGAGGGCCGCATATGGGCAGTAGAGCTTTGAACATCTCACCCCTCCTGTTCACACTCCAAGGGATGCGTTCCAGCTTTGCTTTTCCCTTGAGCCGTAGCTTGTTAAGTTTCCCCTTAGGAGGCACCTAACAAAGCTCTCACAGGAAGACAGCAGGGCTCCTCCTCTGGAGGAGGCTTCACTTACCCCAGAGGCTTGCTGCTTCCCACTCTTGACTGCGCGTCTCTGCAGGGACACAGGGCCCTCGCTGTGCCTGCCAGGAGTACCCAGGACAGCCACCCCACACCAGGGAAGCGGGTGTCCCCAGCCCTTACCCACCTGAGTGGTTTCAGGGTAGCACTTATCCATCATCATGCCCCACACTGGCCTTAAGGTCTTCCCTGTGGACTGTGTGACAAGGACAGAGGGAAGGCTGAGATAAGGCTGTGTCATGCCTTCCTAATTCACAAAGACTACCAGATATTTACAGGACTATAATTGAGGTCTTTAGAGAGATAAAGGTTTGCACTCGTGAAACAGTATGAGGTTCTTAACAAAAAAATCTTCAAAACAACCACCTCTAATTTTTCCCCTCAATATCAGGGATCAAGTCTAGATTTCATTTTCTCTCCCACTACACACACACACACACCTTTTTCTTGTCTTTTCTGTTGTTTTGTTTTATTTTTAATTTTCTAGTTTTTATTCTTTAACTGGATTTTTAAATCTCCTTCTTTCTCATCTTTCCTTTTTATCTTGCTTCTTCCATTTTTCCCGTTGTGCACTCCCTCCAATTTTATTAGTGTTATTATTGCTTTTACTTTTTTTTTTTTTTTTTTTTTGAGGTAAGGTCCCACTATGTAGTTCAGGCTGAATTTAAAGTTACTATGTAGCCCAGACTGGCCTCAAACTTGTGGCAATCCTCCTGCCTCAGCCTCATGAGTGTTGGGATTATAGGTGTGTGCCATCACACCATCTATTATAAATACTTTGAATCCTAATTAATTTTTAGTCTTTTAATTATTCCTGATTTCTATTGTTATTAGTGGTATAGTTGTTGGTTTTAATTGTTTCAATATCTGTCACTGTTACTGCAGTTTATTTTCACCTCTTTGTGAAGTACTAGAGATAAAGCCTTCAAAAGAAGGCTGGTCACTAGGAAGATCCTCACATAAAAATAGAAGGAATATCTATCCCAAAAGATGCACAAATCTCAACACTGAAACACAAGAAGTGCTGGGTGTGGTGGTGCATTCCTGTAATCCCAGCATTCAGGAGGCTGAGGCAGGAGGACCACCACAAGTTAAAGACCAACCCATGCTGCATAGTGAGACCCTATCTCAAAAAAACCAAGAAAGAAAGAAAAAAAAGGAGACAAGTATGAAAAACAGTGGAATGCATTAATGAGTAAGTGCAGAATATGAAAGAGTAATTCAACGAAGAGATTCTGAAGAATCAAACAATTCTTGGATATGTAAAGCACAATAATTCAGACTTTAAAAACTCAATACAAAGCCTCACCAATAGAATGCCTCCAACAAAAGACAGAATTTCAAGGCTTGAAGATAAAGTTGATGAATTATTTCACTCAGCCACTGGTTAAAAAAAAACAACACAACTTAGAACAAAACATCCAAGAATTCTGGAACATGGTTAGAAGGCCAAACTCACAAATTTGGAGTGTAGAAGAGGGCACTGAGTTATTAGCATGGAAAGTCTCTAATGAAATAATTACAGAAAAACTCCCAAATCCAGGTATAAGAGCCATTAAGAATCCCAAACAGGCTTGATCAGAAAAGAGCCTCCCCATATCCTAGTTAAAATGCCAAGAAAGGGCCGGGGATTTAGCTCAGCGGTTCGGTGTCCTGCCTTGATCCCTGGTACCAAAAAAAAAAAAGCCAAGAAAACAAATACCGAAAGTGGCACAAAAGAAATGCTGAGCAACTTACAGAGCCAAACTCATGAGAATAACTAATATTCCAGCTTGAGGGGGAATGGGATAAAAATCAAATAAAATTTACTGAAGCCAAAAAAAATAATAATATTCCATGCAAAGGGAACCTGAAAGCAGACAGATGTAGTTATACTCCAATCCAACAAAGCAGACTTCAAGACAAAACTCATCAGAAAAGACAAGATGGCCACAACATATTGGTAATGATCCACCAGGAATATATTAAATTGTAAATATGCACCAAACATAGTGTACCCAACTTCATAAAACAGTACTTGACATAAGGGTCATATATGACCTAATACAATAATAGTGGGTGACTTCAATATTCTACTCTCGCCGATGGATAGGGTCATCTAGATCCCCTCCCCCAACATCAACCAGCCTCAGAGTTAAACTACACAATAAATCAAATGGACTTAGGGCCAGGGATTTAGCTCAGTGGCACTGTGCCTACCTCACAAGCACAAGGTCCTGAGTTCATCCCTAGTACCAAAACAAAAATCAGATGGACTTAATAGATATCAACAGAATATTCCACCCACCAACTACATAATACACTTTTCAGCAGCTTATGGAACATTCTCCAAAATAGATCATATTTTAGACCATAAAGCAAGTCTAAACAAATACAATAAAAGGAAATAATTTATTGCACCTTACCAGATTATAATGAAGTGGAGCTAGAAAGCAACAATTAGAAAAACTGCAGAAATTACACCAATGAAGATTGGCAGACTCATTTTTTTGGTATGGTAATGGTGACTGAACCCAGGACCTTGTCACTTCGCTATATCCCTACCCCTTTTTCGGTTTTCCTCTTGAGGCAGGGTCTCACTAAATCACTAAATTGCTTAGGCTGGACTCAAACTTGAGATTCTCTTGCCTCAGCCTCCCAGAGTGCTGGGATTACAGGCATTTGTCACCCGCCATGTGACAGTTCACTTTGGAAAGATTGAAGCTGTCAAGGGGAACTGTTTTGAATTCCTAGAATCCAATGAGAATGGAAATGCAGCATCGCAGAGTCTCTGGGATATGGGAAAGGTGGCTTAGTCTATAACCAATAGGGAAAGGCACAGTAAAATTACATTGAGAGTCTGTCTCACGCTGGTCAGAAGGGCTATCGTCAAGAAAACAAGGCCAGTGAAGATGTGAGAAGGAGGAACATTTTGACACTGCTAGTGGGTACATAAATCAGTACAGCCACTATGGAAATAAGTATAGATGTTCTCCCGGAAATCTAAAAATAAAACTACATATCACATGACCCGACTATGCCACTCCTTGGTATACACCTAAGAGAATTAAAATCAGCAACTATAGGGATATCTGCATACCCCTGTTTGTTGCAGAACAAATCACAATTCAACTACGTTATGGAATCAGCCCAGGTGCCCATCAAAGAATGAACAGGTAAAATGTGAAAATATATATGTGAAATGGAGTATTATTCAGCTATAAAGAATAAAATTAGGGTCAGGGATTTAGCTCAGTGGTCCCTCCACCTGCCTCACAAGTGCAAGGTCCCAAGTTCGATCCCTGGTACAAAAAAGAACAAAAAAATTGTCATTTGCAGGAAAATGGAGCTGGAGATGTTAATCAAAATAAGCCACATTCAGAAACAAAAATTATATTTTCCCTAATGTGTGGAACCTAAAAAAGGAGAAATAAGAGGTGTAAGGAAGGGTAAAAGGGAAGATGAAATGTTAGATGCAGATATGAAAATACATTGAAGCGCATTATTTTGTAGAACTAATAAGCCTTAATGAAATATTAAAAATAAAATATTTTCAATTCTAAAAACTATGCTATAATTATATTGAAAAGCCACAGAGAGAAGAAATGTGTGTTGGAGGTGCTGGCCTTCACAGTCACACACGATCTTGGTATACATAGGTGGCTGACCATTTGTGGTTGAGCACAGCCCCTATTCGTTTCAAGTGAGATGATCCCAGCCGCTATAGGCCTCACCAGCAGATGTGCCTACCTGTGATGACTCCCCTGCAATCTCGGGGGCTATTCTTTCCACAGACGTCTGGAAGTAGTAATACACCACTCCTGCAGGTTGATGAGAAGATATGTTAAAGCATTTAAAAAAGACAGACAGCCGGGCGCGGTGGTGCACGTCTGTAATCCCAGCACTTGGGTGGCTGAGATTACAGGCACATGCCACTATGCCCGGCAGAAACCATGTGCTTTTAAACTGCTTAAATTTGTGGCAAAAGATATTAGGAACTAAAATGTGAGGAGAGATAAATAGTTGGGTTTTTTTTTGAGACAGAGTCTCGCTATGTAGTCTAAGCTGGTCTTGAACTCACTTTGGAGTCTGGGCTGGCCTCAAACTTTCAGCACTCCTCCTGCCTCAGCCTCCCAAGTGCTGGGATGTGTGTCACCACACCCAGTGAGATACATAGTTTTTCCAAAGGTACACAAGCAAAATTATAAAGATCACTGCTGTTGGATGTTATTAGGTTGTACAGGGTTTGAGGTATTTGTATTTTGGAGGTGGGGCAGTGTGGACTTTAGAGTTAGACGTGGGTTCAGATACTAAGTTCACTCCATTTTTTTTAATTGTTTAAAAGTTTTGTATTGTGTCATACAAACTGTCTTCATATACTAGTGCAAAGGGAAAGACTTCTCCCTTCTTCCCAAACATTGCAGTAGGGCCCATTTTTGCTAATACATCAGAAAGTTAAAACAATTGTCCCCTTCTGAATTCTGAACAGCTAATTCTAATGCTAGCTTTTCATTGTTTTGTTTTGGCTCTTAGTCTAGGCTGGCCTTGAACTCCTGATTCTCCTGCCTCAGATTACAGCCAGACTTGGGCTTTTGAATCTTGTCTCCCTGATCTGGCACAAACATGAATAGTTCTAGTGCCTTTCAGCTCATTCCTGAATTTTCTCTTTCCAAGTTCACTTTGAAAGGAAGAAAAGGACAAAGAAGGTAGCCTTGGCCTTGAACAGTACGGCCAGGCCCTTATGGGAGCTGAGTATATACCTGGGGGTAGGTGGATGTGTGAGCCCTGAGGGTGGGATCAGTCCCCCAGGTCCTGCCATCATCTCTAACCCACACAGCACCCCTCACAGTCTATTACGATTACGATTACTATTTCCAGCACCCAGCCTGTTACCTGCTAGAACGAAGAGGTGTGCTACATACAGGGTCTTGAGTCTGGAAGGGAAAGCATTCCTGAGAGGGGCTGGCATGTCCCTGCCCTTTCTTCTGGGTACTGGTTCTCCTCCCCCACCAGACCCTAGAACCAACTCTGCCAGGGTCGGTCCAGGCAGCATTTGTGGATGAGCAAACCTCAGTTGCAACAGGGCTCAGCTGACAGATGGGCATGATTCTTTGCCTCTTCCTAGTCCTTCAATACCAGACTTTTGGTGGGGAGCACTCAGGAACCCCCCTGGCTCCATGCCCCCACCCCCACGCACACACACTAAGGGGCCCACCCAGGCCAGAAGACAGGAGCAGACCCGTTTCATGCTGGATTTGCTCTTCTCCCCGTGTTCCTCCAAACCCGAGACTAGAACCAAAATCCTGTGGCCCAGCCTACTCTTCTAGGGCACTGTCAGGATGGTGGCTCCCTGCCCACACACGCGCGTGCACACACACACACACACACACGCCCCCTCAAATCCTGGACACATTCCAATAGTCAGGGGAAGAGGAATAGAGAACCCCATTTTCCCTTCCTCTTGGGCCAGGTAGGGGCCCCTTTGTTCATTTAGGAACCAGGTAACAGGGCCCCTATAAACCTTACCCCTCTCTTTGGCGGCTTTGACCAAACAGCATTTTCAGTCTAGGAAAAAAAGATGGGCAACAGTCAGTGTAATGTACCGTGCAGGCCTGGGAGCCCGGTGCTCCCGCCTCTCAGCTGGCAGGGATGACAGTGGGTGAGGGATGGTTGGGAAGGGCAAGACCCTACCCACAGCCCAGCCTGGGAGGCTGCCGGTCACAGCTGGAAGCCAGATTCACTAGGAGCAAGGAAAGTGCTCAGGAATTTCTCCTCAAAGATCTGAGTACCTGAAAGCTTGTTTCAGTGTCCCGAGAGTTAGAGGTCAGACCAGCAAATCATGATGGAGGAGGAGGGCTGGGACAGATTCAAGAAAAAGGCACAGCTCCACTGGACATTTGGCACGAAATGTCCCCAGGTGTAAGTGGCTAATTATCATAGTAAATAAAACTACCAAAACTTCAAAGTGTCTTTCTGTTTTATGCAGCATACAAAAATAATTCTGAGAGTGGTGATTTCCTTGCCCCCTCAAGATACCGTTGTCTGAAATCCCACCATGCTATTAGAAATGCACCCAGAATGACATCCTTATGAAGTCAAGGTCTCCAACGTGAGAGGGCCCCTCTGGACCGCCCAGTGAAGCCTCCATCTCCCAGGTCCGCTCCCACCCTCCACAGGGGCGTCCCACCTCTGCTTTCCTCACATTCTGCTTGGAAGAGAGCAGAGGAAACTGCCCTCCCTCTGCTGCCCGCAGGCTGCCCGCCGTCTCCCCTCCTCCAAGGTGAGCCCTACTCCTGCACAGCTCCATCTCCCGCTGCAGTCTGTACCTTCAGGGAGTCGCTCACGCCTGCACGTTCCTTCTGCTTTTCCCTCTTTTCTGGGTCCTTCCCATTAGCACTCCAACACATCACTCATCTCTTCCATTAAAAAAGAAAGTCTCTCCCTTGAACCGACAACCCTGCGCATCACAAACACTGTCCAAGGCTGATGTGTTCACTGCTCTCCCAGCCCTCACTCTACAGCCCACTGCACCCCATTTCTGGCCCCTTAAGCCTCTCACCAAGGCCACCAAACCCAACGCCCGTTCTCTGGCCTCGGCCCCTTCTCTGCCAGGCACCGCAGGCCTCCCTGAACAGCAGAGGAAACCGCCCTCCCTCTGCTGCCCGCAGGCTGCCTCCTCTTCCTGTAGAGCAGGCTGCCCGCCGTCTCCCCTTCTCCAAGGCGAGCCCTACTCCTGCACAGCTCCGTCTCCCGCTGCAGTCTGTACCTTCAGGGAGCCGCTCACGCCTGCACGTTCCTTCTGCTTTTCCCTCTTTTCTGGGTCCTTCCCATTAGCACTTCAACACATCACTCATCTCTTCCATTAAAAAAGAAAGTCTCTCCCTTGAACCGACAACCCTGCGCATCCCAAACACTGTCCAAGGCTGATGTGTTCACTGCTCTCCCAGCCCTCTACAGCCCACTGCACCCCATTTCTGGCCCCTTAAGCCCCTCACCAAGGCCACCAAACCCAACGCCCGTTCTCTGGCCTCGGCCCCTTCTCTGCCAGGCACCGCAGGCCTCCCTGACCCTCCAGTCACCTTCTGTCCCGTGCCTTGACATCTTGCGCCCTTGTCTTCTTCCTGTCTTCCTCTGCCTGGCCTAAGCTTCTGTGTTGCTCCAGGTCCTGCCGGGCGCCTCCCTTAGCAGAGCAAGCCTCATCCTGGTGCTCATCCCACTCCCTGCCTCAGAGGCTGCTAACAAACGACAGACTCGACTTCCGCTTCCAGACGCTCCGTTCTGGGCCTCTGCATTCCTCATTCTCTGCCCGAATGTCCCTCTCCACTCCATGCACGAAGGCTCCTGAGCACCTGAGCTGGTTGGCGCGGCCGGCCTCCCCGCCCTTGGGGCATTCCAGTGTCCCCCAGCAAGGAGGCTCTCCAGAGACCACAGTAAACCTGCCACGGCCGAAGCCCTAGAAATTGGTCTCAAGCCTGAGAGAGCAGCAGCTCAAGGACCAGGTGAGTGAATCACCACGTGGCTGCCGCCCATTCCTACTGCTCAGAGCCCGGGTCAGAGTTTTAAAGCAACCTGTTGTGCCGTACTGAGAATGCTGCTAGCAGTGTACTCCACAGAAGGCTCTGTCGGTCATTTATACCTTGGTGTGAAAGTTGGGCTCTTCCTAAAGGAGTTCATGGAAGGAAAGGAAAACGAGTCTTAAGGGAGAGGAAAGGCAGACGGTCGTACAGGCCAAGTAGCAAGGGCTAAAAAACATAAGGCTACTTACTTACCAAATACACCAGCCTCAGCGGTGCTCTGTTGATTGGCAGAAAACTCTTTGGCTGTATCAATGTCCAGGCAGCCTACCCACCTCTCCTCTCCTCAGGCTCCTGGACCAACCCTGAGAAGAGCACGGGACCCCAGCCACTCCTGGAAGTCAAAGGGAGAGGCCCCTCCTTCGGCAGACAGAGGGGTGTCTGTGTGTGACATCATGTCTTAGGGGGCTTTATGACAGGGCAGCCTCTTCATTCTTAGCCAGAGAAGACTTTCGGGGGCCTCAGAGAGGCTGGAAACGCCCCCAGTCAGAGGTTGCACCTCCATGCAGGTACCTCCTTGGTTCAGTTCCTACCACCAGTGCTGACCGGGCGACCGCACGATGCCAAACTCTGACCTGTAGACCCAAAACACAAAGGTGTTTAGGATTCAGTCTTGTTGCGCAATTCCAAAGGCATACGTTCTGATTCGAAAACAAGAACAGAGCCTAACAACATCTAAGTGCCGTTCATTTATCCAGTGTTCGCCGAGCTTCTATCTGGGGCCAGGTAAAACGCTGAGGGGCTGGCTCAGTAAACGGGTCACAGAGCCCGACTTGGAGCAGCTCGGGAGGGCCCTGACTGGAAGGGCAACTTCCACCTCCTCCAAATTACTATAAATGCAACTAAGTAATAATTGTGTATCTACACTGTAAAAAGAAACCAGCGTGTCTATGGTGGTTAAAACTGAGGGGCGGGGCCGGGGGTTTAGCTCAGGGATGCTGCACCTCGCTTGCAAGTGCAGGGTCCTAAGTTCGATCCCCAGCACAAAAACAAAAACAAAAACTGAGGGGTGCCTTAGTTTCACATGCATATAATGAGACAAATCATATCTTGGACCTGGTTTCTATACATTTAAAAGATAAAATGCATTTCAAGTAGGTTCTTTGACCACAGTGGAATTAAAAATTAGCAGTCATTAACAAAAGATCCCTGGAAGAATCTCCAAATATTTTGAAACTAAACATGGGCTGGGGATTTGGCTTAGTGGTTCCACTTGCCTGCCTTGCAAGCAAAAGGTCCTGAGTTCGATCCCCGGTACCAAAAAAAAAGGAGAAACTAAACACACCTTAAACTTAAACACACATACAATGACATATGAGTGAAACAAAAGTCAAAGGGAGGTCAGAAAAATATTTCAGCTGAATGAAATTTTAAATATCAAAATAAATTTTAGTCCTCATGAAATACATAGAAATTTATAGCACTGAATACCTATATTAGAAAATAAAGGCCTCAAATTACTGACCTCAGTTTCTACTTTAAAAAACTAAAAATTAAATATCAAAGAAAAGCCAGGTGTGGTGCCGCACGCCTGTAATCCCAGCACTCACGAGGCTGAGGCAGGAGGATCGCTGTGAGTTTGAGACCAGCCTGGGCTGCATAGTGAGTTCCAGGTCAGTCTCAGCTACACAATGAGACCCTGTCTCAAAAAACCAAAAAAAAAAGTAAATAAATAAAAATAAATATAAAATAACCCACAGACAGTGCTCCCCACTCCCTTGCCTAAACCCAAGGCAGATGGTTCCCAGAGCCTCAGCTTCAGAATCATTGATCTGTGAACATATCTCACCCTTTTCCTAGTATCCAAATATCCATAAGGATGATGAAACCTAACAGTCCAAATACTTTGCAAATCTGCCATTCCATCTCCAGCTCCCTCTCTCACCCTACTTGCTGCCCTACCCTACAAGGAATCACGCATGAAGTCTTATAGAAAGAGTCTCAGTGTCTACTCTGCCACTCTGGTACATTAGGAAATATTATGAACAATATTATGCCAATAAGTTCGACAACACAGATGAAAGTTGGTAAAACTCGTAAAACACACGAAATAGGTTCATGCAGGAAAAGCACTATGTCTTCCAAAAACACTGATTTAATTAACTTTCCCACAAAGAAAGCTTCAGACCCACGTAGCTTCATTAGTGAATTCTACCAAACTCTCACAAAAAGAAATAATACAAATCCCATACGAAAACTGCTAGGAAGGGGAAGGAACATATCCCCAAACCAGACAAGGATGATAAAAATACAGGTAGAAATCCCTTATACTATAGGTGCAACAATTATCTAACAACAAAATCTTATCAAATGGAAACCAACAACACACGAAAAGGAGAAAACATTCCGGTGGAGTTTCATTCCAAGAGTGCAAGGTTTGTTCAACACACAAAAACCCATCCATTAAATTTGTCATATTAATAAATGGAAAAAGAAAAACTACATGGTCATCTTACTAGGACGCAAATATGTTTGACAAAAGCAACATCTATTCCTGGAAAAATAATTTAAAACTCTCAACAAACTAGTAGATGAAAATATCTTCCACTTGATGGGGCGCCAATGAAAAGCCTCCAGCTAATAACACAGTCAGTAATTGAAGTACTGAATGCTTTCTCAACAAACTCAGGAATAAGGGACGATGTCTGTCTTCATCACGCTACACAATACTGTCCTGGAGCTCCAGCCAGCGATCCAAGTAAAGAAAGAGAAGTAAAAGACAAAATGGAAAGGAAGGAATAAAACTGTATTTGCAAACAATAAGATTGTTTATAAAATCCTATGGGATCATCCAAAAAGCTACTAGTATTTAGCAAGGTTAAAGGATAAAAGATTTCTATATAAAATTAATTGTAAACTGAGCATAGGGCTGCATGAGTGTAATTTCAGCACTCATGGAGACCAAGGCAGGAGGGTCACAAGTTCAATCCCCACCTGGGCAACTCAGGAAGACTATGTGCCCAGGAAAAAAAACAAAAAGGTTGGAAGTATAGCACAGTGCAAAGCCCTGGGTTCAATCCCCAGTACTGCATTCAAAACAAAACAAAACAAGAAAAAACTAGCCGGGCATGGTGGCACACACTTTACTCTCCCAGCACTCGGGAGGCTGAGGCAGGAGGAGTGCTGCAAGTTCGAGACCAGCCTGGACTACATAGTTCAGGGCCAGCCTGAACTACAAAGCAAGACCCTGCCTCAAAAAAAAATTCTATTTCTACACATCATCAATAAACAATTGGAAACTAAAAAAATTTTAAAGAACCAATAATAGCATCCAAAATATAAATAATTAGTGAAAAAGTCTGCCAAAAGTAAGATGCCAATGCCTCCCCCAAGTGATATGTAAGCTCTGTGTAACTGCAATAAATTCCATCACATTTCTTTTCTGTAAAATCAACACGTTGTTTCTAAAATTCTTATGGAAATACAAAAGACCTAGAATAGCCAAACAATTTTGAAAAAGGAAAATAAATATGAGCAGTAATCAAGACGACGAGATTGCTCGTATTAAGACAGGTTAGTGGGACAGAGCAAGACACAGACATACTCGTTACCAACTCACTGCAAGCGAAAGTGCAAAGATGAGAGGCAGGGGATGATGTTTAGCTCAGGAAGAGTAAATGGCTCTGGGGCAGTTACCTGTTTAGGTGGGAAAAATAGACTGATTTCTATCTCAAACCTTATACGAAAATGAACTCAAAGCTGATCACAGAGTCAAGCTCGATGGCGCACACCGGGAACCACAGCAGTTTGGGAGGCCAAGGCGGTAGGATCCCAAGTTCATACCCAGCCAGCCGTACAGACAGGGAGAGATAAGAAAAAAAGAGATTATAAAAGGGATTGAGAAAAATTGGGGGCGATAGGTTCATTCTCTTAAAATTTTGCCAATGGATTCACGGGTATGCAATGTGCTAAAACTGTCCAACAGGTACAATCTGTTGGCTGTCAACTATGTATCAATAAAGCTGTTTTTAAAACAGTAAACCATTCTGTCTCCTCTTTCAGGTCTAAAGCATTTGCACAGGCACTTAAAGAGTACATGAGTGCCCATCTTAACACCCAGCAGGGAAGAAACATTTCTGTAGGAGGACAGAGGAGGAGGAGGCCTGGGGAAAGACACGCAGCACACACAGGTCTCAGTGCGATGGGCTCAGCACGGTCTGCTCTGCCACACTGGTGCCAGAAGTGGGAAAAATAGAAATCTTCTGTTTCATGTCATCAGCAACATTCAAGAGGATGCTGTATCTGTGAAATCCCGGCAGGTGGTAGTAAAACTATAACTGTATAGGACAATAACCAAAATGTAAAATGAAGTGGAAGGGGTTAATAGTTTAATAGCAGATTAGATACTCAAAGAAAAACAAACCCTCAAGGGGTGAATTAAATGAGAAGACCATGAAATTTCCTCCTTTTGCAGAGAAAAGGGTGAAGAATGAAAATGATAGTAAAAGGCCGGGCGTGGTGCCGCAAGCCTGTAATCCCAGCACTCGGGAGGCTGAGGCAGGAGGATCACTGTGAGTTCGAGACCAGCCTGGGCTACATAGTGAGTTCCAGGTCAGTCTCAACTACAGAGTGAGACCCTGTCTCAAAGCTCCCCCCACAAAAAAAGAGAGAAGAATAAAAGAAAATGATAGTAAAGGTATGAGAGTTATGGAGGACAAATCTGGAAGACTAAATTGAATATATAAAAATGTCTAGGCTTGGGGATTTAGCTCAGCGGCACTGTGCCTGACTTGTAAGCGCAAGGTCCTGAGTTCGATCCCCAGTAAAAAGAAAGCAAAGAATATCTAGAGGAAGACAGAGAGAAGAAATAGAAAAAGGAATATACCCTGAAGGGAAGAAAGTTTTAGAACTTTTTAGAACACGTGGTTTTAAATTAACATGAGGCAAAAGCAGCACAAAGGGTCTCTGTGTGGACACCCAGAAGAGGCTTTTGTTGTTTTTTTTGGGGGGGTGCCATTTTATTTTGTTTTGTTTCCTGGTACTGGGGCTTGAACCTAGGGACTTTACCACCAAGCTATACCTTCAGCCCTTTTTATTTTGAGGGTTTTGCTAAGTTTCCCAGGCTTGACTCAAACTTGTGATCCTCCTGCCTCAGCCTCCTACATGCTGGAATAACATGTATATGTTAATTTGGGGAGGATTTTTTGACTTTTAAGAATAAAGTAAGTATTAAGGAAAAAAATAGGTTACTTAAAAATAATAAAGAATCAGAATGGCCTCAGCATGAAATACTTAATATCCACTTAGTAACAGTAGTAGAACAGTGAAGTAATTAATGTTCTACACAACTTGAGAGGAAGCCGACGTGATTCAATTCTATGCTGAGCCAAGCCAGCTTTCAGTGTCAGGACAGCAGAGGGTTCTTGGAAGCCACCAGGTCCAGACATCAGCCTGCCTCCGGTGTACAGTCCCTCTCCTACCCCAAACCACAGTGATAAAAGAAAGTCCATCTGAATAACAAACCCATAATCGTGCTGTAACAAGTGGTGCCCTCGTCGGACCAGCAGCTGTGAGGAATTCACAAAGGGAAGGCAAATAGGAAGAGGCTGAGAGAGGAAATCAAGTCAGATACAGG